GCACGCCATTAGTTATGTACTGCCAACCTCAGCACGCCATTAGTTATGTACTGTCAACCACAGCACGCCATTAGTTATGTATCGGAGACGACGAGCGCGCCCACGAGTTATCAAGGCAAAACTTTTGTTATAGTTTCATCGCTTTTGAACATTAAACTGTCTTACTGCCGGATTTTTAGCGCATTTTCTCATTTATGGGGAAAAAGGCGATATTGTGCTCATCATGTCCGTCCGTCCGTCCGTGACTTCACGGACGGACGAACGAGAAAATGCGCTCTCTGTCACTCACTGCAGCGAGTACTGATCTAATTTTTTATGTATACGGATGTCACTGGCATAAATTGCAGGATGGCCGAATGTTCATGGACACTTCTCGCCGTACGTGTAAAGCCGAACTCGACATAAAGTCAAGGTTACCACTTCTCAACTCCCACACTGCATGTGTTCTTTCTCAACATTCCCATACTTACGCATAGATTTTTAGCAAGGCAGTACAACCAATACTGTTGAGAATGCACATCCCAGGGCCTCCGAGCTGGTAAAATAGATACTTTGAAGTAGAAACTCGCGATTCTATGTCTCGGGCAATGAGCAGGTTTGTCTTCCCCATCATTTAATTACAATTAAAACTTACTTGCATTCAGCATTGTTAGGAATAGGCACCACTGGGATAAAAATAGTGTAATTACTTTTAACACTATAATTCACATTAGGTAGCCGGATGTAATGTAATAAACAGCATCACATATATTTTAATACCTCTAATTGAGCGCGATCAATATCGTTTGAATTTCAAGCAGTGCATGCATGTTCCTTCTAATGCTCAAGTTCGAATCAGTTCCAATATAATTTTTTTTTCTTTTATTCAAATCATCTATCATTTCCCTACGATCGACGCTGATTACTAACAATTGGTGATCATAGCATTTGATGAAGATATATTTATTCACAGATAATTTATTCGTCGACCATGTTATGAAATAGCGCAAATTTGTGTCGTCGATTTGTAGAATTTGGGCCAGACTTGTAAAATAAAGCAAAATAAAGTCTAAATGTGTTCGTTAATTATGGCACGATCGATGCAAACGTTGTATTTTAGTTAAATCTATAACTTTCATTCAATTCGATTCCTCGCGTAGTTATTGTCGTTGATCAAGTTTGATGATACAAAGAGAAAAATTACAATAAAAGTTTGATTACTTGTAGAGAACTTTAACTACCTCGCAACCTAATTATGCTCATCATTGATCAATATATTTTCAACGAGATAATGAATAGTCAATTCGCTGCCCCGTAATACCTCTAACATTTTTGTAATCTCTTAAGCTCTCTCCTTGAACCCAAGGGGTCAATATCAACTTCTTTGTCAACCCAATTGTTTTGCTTCAAGCTTAAGTTTGTTCGCTAACAACTTAACTAAGTTGTTAGTGAACTAAACAACTAAGTTTGTTGTATGTTGTTGGAATCTGTGCTCTCAGAGACCGCTGAGCAGGTGAAAAAGGGCATATATGATCACCGGGCATCCCATAGTTCGAATGCAGTCTTGCTTTGCAACCGACTGTGTTCTGCCCACAAAAATTTGATTAACGTTGACGAAAAGCATGGCCGTTATAGGGCCAATATGTTCGTCATTGGCTCCTCGTTCTCAAACAGGCTCCTTACGAATGAGATTTTGGGACGACGATCGATATCGAGATAACTAGCGGTCAGCTCACAGAAGCACAACGACATCTTGACCTATAGGCTGTTTCACGCCCACCATCGCCTTTCAATCGCCACAAATTTTGACAAAGAAGGCCCGCATATTTAGGCACATTGTTAAAGATTATACTAAATGTCAGGAAAAGAAATTAGCGCTGTAAATGCAGTGTCGTTAGCCCTGTAAATGCAGTGACAGCCATTGATGTATTTTCATTATTCGAGTAAAACCTCTACCAGCAGCTGAAATGAAATTTTTCCGATTTTACATCCTGAGAAGACAACGTTGCACTGCACCTGAATTGAGCGCTGAAGTGGGAGTTGCCGCCACAACAATGAAGCTGAAAAATGTAGTTAGCAACATGGCTATTTTCAGCAACGCAGATCGATCCAAGGAACATCAACACTCTCCCACAAACAAGGTATTACTGGGAAAAAGTCCCTCAATCAGCTGACAGATATCAATCCTTATCTTCGATGAATATGATTCGGAAATCTTATATGGAGATAATTTATCTCGGTTGGTCTAGGTTGTGAATAATTACTTGGTTCTTATCACTAAACAATCGTTAAAAACATGAAAAATACTTTCCATGAACCTATATTCCATCAACACTAATGAAAACATAAGATAACTTTGAATTTGAACATTCAAAATAGCTTGTAAAAATAAAAGGAATTAACGTTCAGTTCGTGCATTAAAAGATGAAGTTGACTGGTGGCGCGGGAGGAAAAAAAACAGCCTATGGAGGCTAAGAAGTATAGTTATAGTTAAAAATTTTATGAGTGTGAATCACTTAATCTCATGGAGGTCTAAAATGACATCAACCGGTTCTACAGTGGCCCAGACGACCCTTGACTACTGATTGTGACTCGACACCAATTAAGCTTTTCGGTACGAATAGCATTGAAGACGGTTAATGGATCATTAGACAAAAGGTTACACAGGACCCGCGAAGCGCTTGTCACATCAGGGTGACTTCTTGCAACAGAACCATGAATGATCCAATTATTCATGACCAGTGGAAACCTCTGAAGAGAGATGGTGAATTGCTGCGTATGCATGATTGATGAATAAGTTGTCAATATTTACAGGATATGAACTATCGCTTAATGAATATCAAACCCTTCTGAAGAAATGAATTGTTAAATGCTCGGTACTGACAATACCGTAAGAACACACATAGTTTTCTTGTCACGTACACTGTGATAGTTAGGTTGCACGAACAATAAGGTAATGACCGCCACATTGCTGTGATGGTCACGTAGTACGAACAAATGCAGAGAATTATTCCCGGTGCTGGAGGTAAACCTCCTCTACAAATACCAAGCACAAAATGCTGGAAAGGATTTAAACAAATCGAGGATGATCAAGCGAATTTCATTAGATACTATTGATGCAGGAAAATTTTAACATTACAGGTTCCAGGAGATAACTTCCTTCCACTCGAATTCAGTGAAAAATGTCCACGTTAGTATGCGAAGGCCGACTGAAGGTCTTAAAGATGATGGACTGGGTAGAAAATGAGTTATTATATTATTATCGAGCACAGCGTAATTATTCAGCTACCTCAATATAACAATGCAAGCACAACTTATTTAAACGAAAATAAGTGCACGCACAAAGCTTCTAAGTGAGATTTGGTGCGAATAAGTATATGCACAGTTAGAGAATTTGAACGCGGTTATAACGCATTTAGGTGTAAACCGCAATGGGACAGGAGAATAAACAATCAGGTTCCACTATTTGAATTTTACGAGTTCCAGAATTGAAAACTGCGGAAAGTTAAAGCTAAAGAGATTAGGGTTAAGGGACGGATACCGCCACTCTAAATGGGCATTTCCTTTAACGTAAGAATGATTTGAAATGGAGCACGGAATTTCAATTCTTAAACTGCCTCTTCAGTAGCCAATTCTCAATTAATGAGGATAAATCGTTTAGGTAACTATAAAAGAATGTATTTCAAAGTCCAGATCAGTATTTTACGTTTGTTTGTGATCGATTCATTAAACACGGTCTCAAGTTTAAGCAAAGCGCAGTCAAATATTTCTTCGCATCATAATTCAACACACGACAATGAAATGAAAGTCAGTACAGAGTAAGTTTTATCAAATATGGCGGGCGTTCCAAAGTAGTGAAAAATGTAGGTTTTCAAAACATAGGTATAACTTGTCAAAGGTAGTGCATAATAAATTATAACCAAAGTTTCAATAAAGGAAATAATAGGCAAACTATGAATGGACATCAACATTAAATGGATAATTGTGGAAGCTGGCGAAAGTTTCGATACACAGTTAATAAGTGCAAGTAACAATTAAAATAATGATCACGAGAGCAGCGGCTTGGTCTTATAAACACAATCCAGTACTTCTTCTTGATCGTATCGCTCCAAGAAGTCAGGTTGAGAAATTTTTCAAACACAAAAATGGAAGGACTAACTAATGTAAAATATAACTCTCTCAACATCACTGTTTCTGTTTTACGTTCTTAGAGTACTGAGCACATTTCAAGGAAAAAGAACGGGAATATTACGGGAGAAAATTATTGTAAAATGTTCTAAACAGATGCGGTAATGAACACGATCAGATTATAATTACTTACCATATACATAGTAGATAAACTAATAATAGGGAACACAGAGCACAGCCTTTGTTGACACTTCAAACAGCTCTTCATTATAACTTAGTAACGAAAAACTCCCAAATATTTTTAGTTCATTTGCTTCATATAATTTGTATGCACAGCGAACCTTCAAAGTATTATTAATTAGCAGTCTTTCATTAGCTTTCACTAGCTTATCTAAATAATACCCACAACGTATTACTTCTATTAACGCACCCCTCTATTGGCTACTACTATCCTATTTCAACAATGAACTTACCACTATTTATGACCGACCATTGGCTGTCTCTAAGTTATGTAACACTTAATCTACGGTTACATTAATTAACAGTCACCAATGTTATCCGTGCCTGAAGGTCCGGTACTAATAATCTTAAAAACTATTCATACATCAGTGGCCTTTCACGGCTTCCCTTCATGCGATAGAGAATTAAGCTAGTACTTTTCGCGGAAGATATTATAATTGAAATCATTATTAATTCTAAATGACAATTTACCAGCAACTTTAATTTTCAGTGGCCAGTAACTGGCTTCTAGAAAATAGAACTGATAACTTACAAACTATTCGTTCATTGTATTGCTTCAACCTACAAACGGGGCTCGAGCAGGGAACACAAATAGTCATCTTTTTATCACATTAGTTTTCATGCAACAAGTCTCAGCATACTGCACATGCGAACACGCAGAATTCTTGTGATAGAATTCGGATGATAATTAGAATCTTTCTCACCGTAACATCGTAAAATGTAATCCACAATGATGTCAGGAGATGCAGAAATATTCTTTGTAATAATACTGGACCACAACCTTAGCATATCGGTAATTTGATCGAATCATAGCATTTAAAGATGAGCACACCCACTTGTAACTTTACAGTCTCATTATCAATTTAAATTTCACAATATAAAAATAATGGACTACACTTTTGCGGCTTTCCAAATCTTTTCACCTTAATGTCCAAGGAAATTATCAGACGGCAGCTAAAGTGCTGTCGAGACCTCGGAGCACGGCACTGCGTAGTTCAGGTCATCGGCGTCAGAGATTCCGTCCTCATCATTCTGTTGGTTGGTCGCTTCTCTGCTGGTATTGTTGAAGAGTTTTGGTTCTTCGTTACGCTTGTGCAGAACAGAAGCAATGACTTGCGTCGGTGTCGAGTCTTTGCAAGTTCGATCCAAGTCATCATAGGGGATGGCGTAGCTTTGCTGTTCAACAAACTCTCGACGAATATCGGGGTAGGTGCCGTCAGCAGGCATGTGCTTGCAATCTGCGCTGCACCCGATCACCATAGGGTTAGGTGTGTGGCCTCTTCTAAGACGCCTCAACGAATTACCGAGGAAGGCTACAGAAGATTTAGTTTCTTTTTTGATGGCAGATGATGGATTAGGGCGCTTTGTTTCCGCATTACTCTCATCAACAGACATCGAAAGATCTTCATCATTTGGGTCACTTGACAATAAAGCGGATGAGATTGCTGTTCCGGTCAAAGAAATATTATTCAATAAGTCCTGTGATGTGCGTTGTTTCTCACTCACTGTTTCTTCGGCAAGGTCAATCTCCAGGCCAGGAGCAGTAATTTTTTCTGATCCATTCGTGGAGACTATGCTCTCTGCTGGAATGACAACTTTAGTCTCGTCGATTTGTGATTTTTCTATTCCAATCACCACGGAATTCGTTTCCAACAACCCGGATCGTTCAATTTCTGCCAGCACAAACGTCGATTTTTGCACTTTAGGACTGCGCGCCTCTGCGTTTGCCGCTTGATCGTTTTCAGAAGTGAGCTCAGCATGCGTCGGTTCATGACAAATTTTGGAACTCTTGCCATAATCAGGATTCATCACCACCGTCGAGGCAGTTGAAGAGGACACGGTCGACGAGATGCTGTTTCTGGACCTCTCTCTCTCGATTAGCTGCTGGAAAATGCAATGTTTTATGAAAATGAATCAAATAAAAGTTTTAAAAACTACGTAAGTTATGAAAAAACTGTAAAATCATATTGTCTGACTTGTCAAGAGGATTAAATTCAGAAAACAAATAAAAGATTGAGATATAAATGAAGCTAAGTTTACCTGAGTTACATTTGGCAAGTGCATCATTGGTTGCCCAGCATTTCTGCTGCTCTCACATGAAGGCACTCTGTCATCAAAGACATACGAAGATCCTGCGTCAACAAGCAACGGGTATCCTGCGTCCGATGTGGCATAAGTTGCACGAGACGGGACATAAGGATTTTGCATGCAGGGGCTGGAGTTGAGCCAAACGTATCCCCCATGAGAGAACTTCATGTAACTTGGTTGCTGGGGGTTGTTGACGGGAGCTAAACAACGACTGGGATTTAACGATGTTTCATCTTTGAAGGATGATTGAGGCTTTTGCGTGACGCATTCGTGGCGTGGAGGCAGTTGGTAGCTCCAGACTGTCAGACGAGAACTGCGGAGCTCGCTGAGGCCATCGGGATGTAGGCCTCCTGATGGGTGGTGGTCTCGCCTCTGATGGCCCAGCAGCGCCTCTTGGTCAATTTCTGGCACATGTGGAGGAACGGTCGTAAACGAGAAACAGGTTTAATTTTAAATTTACCAGCGGTACAATAGATACTTATATTATTTACCGACTCATTATACGCATAGGAAGGCATATAAAATACATCTCCAAAATAAGTATATAAAGGGAAGAAAAATTTGTGCGTCCATATATGAGTTCTCAGAAGAAGAAATCTCATATTCAGGCGAGCGTGCATTAGTAACGTCAACTTAGCTGTGTACAAGCCAATGTGGCTGTTGCAGCCCACAATTAACTCACCGTTGGGGAAGTGCACGTATGAAAGCTCTTGGTCGGAGTAGTCATTTTTGTCCCCGTGCTGACTCGAGTTGCTCACGGTGGAGATGTGGTCATACTTGGTGGTGCGAGCTCTCCACACAGTATGTGCCACTGCGATGATGACCACCATCACCAACGCACACGTCGACACGATGATGATCAGCTTGAGTCCATCGAAGTGAGTCTCCGCCTTCGTCACCATCGCCCCGACGTTGTCCTCAGAACGCACGGTGGGACCGAATGAGTAGTTAACTGAGTCACTGCGACCCATGGCATTGCTGGCAAAAATTGTGAGTACGTACTCATGGTTCACGTGGAGACTTTGCAAACGAAACTCGATTCTCTTGGATTCTAGGATCGTGGCAGCTTGACACTCGGCATATATGTTGCCATCGTGCGGTTGGTCGAGGACATTTTGGTTGTCCACTTGCAGGGTGTAATTGGTGGGCAGTCCACCCGTCCAACTCGCCAGACACACAACGTCCACGTCCACACTTGACGAGTTGACTGTGGACGGAGCAAAGGTGCACTGCTGCACAGCACCTGGGCGACCTGTAGGTAAGGTTAGAGTCGCATATTCGCTCTTTACTAGAAGTATAAAAATCGTTTACTAAATCGTACAGATTTTCAGGAACAGTTAGGCGAAAAAAAAACGCTTGTAAATTTTACCAATTGATTTCTGCTGCGACACAAAATTGATTTTCTAGCTGAAGCTTGGCTTGGTGACATGCCTCGGGCAACGAGCTGTACGACGCACGCTGGCTCGTTGACGCCAACGACATTCTCGGCGTAGCAGGAGACGTTCAGGGGGAATTGTACATCTTCTGTGACCTGCAGTGACCAGGAATTGGACGACGTCACTGCCGTCGTATCACTGCCACTCACTGCCCATCTGCCCGAACACACTCGCATAGCGGCGTCATCTTTGATTAGGCACATTTTTCACAGCTTCTTGCGGGTCTTGAACACCCAACTCACTGCTCCACTATCAATTGCGTTTAACCATCCCGCAACCTCGTCGATTTTGACCATAACTGTCGCAGGTAGCTGGTATCGAATCCACAACTCGCTGCCACAATCATTATCTTGAAAATCTGAACTTTAACCACTGGGCCACATCCAGGGCATGATGTGCCAGGGCTATGCTATGAATGGATTTAAATGTTAACTGTTATAATGCCTTTAGTTCATATAAACATAAAATACTGATCAGGACTTTGATATACAGCGTTTATAATTACTAAAACGATTTATCCTCATTAAGGAGGATCAGCTATTAAAGAGGCAGTTATAAATTGAAAAATTCAGTGCTCCATTTCAAATTGATTTGTAAACTTAGCTCAGTGAAATCGGCATGTTTATTGGAAATTTCTTGGTTTCGAAATAAATGAAATAATTTATTAATAGGACTTCATGATGCATGGCTGAAGGAGGAGAGGGTGGGGAGGGGCACACCTGTAGGCGTGGGGTGCGGGGGTGGCGACCGTGGGGCACCTGAGGGGGGGAGTGGGGCCCACCCCTCTGATCCCCACAACTGCGGGAACTTCGCTGCATCGCGGCTTGTCTGGGGGAGGTGATGAGAAAGAGGAAGGTTAAATAATTACATAAGGTTTAATTTCCTGATATTGATATGTTCTTGTGTTAACGTCGCTCTTCTTCCTTACCTCCTAGCCAGCCCTCACATACCAACAAAAAAGTACGAACTCAATATCATCCATGGACCTTTTACCAGTCAACCTCGCCCTCAAACTTCAATTAACATCAATATATCCATCTTCGGTCCTATAAGTGTCAGCACACATCACAAAATTGACCCATAGGCCCGCCGCCCATCACACCTCGCAGACCGCCCAAGCGGTAGGCCGCATTACAAAATGTAGGCCTACATCAACATGACCCGCAGGCCACCCAAGCGGTAGGCCACATTACAAAATGTAGGCCTACATCAACATGACTTGCAGGCCGCCCAAGCGGTAGGCCGCATTACAAAATGTAGGCCTACATCAACAAGACCTGCAGGCCGCCCAAGCGTCAGCCCTCACCTACGACCAGCACGCTGACGACGTTGCTGTCGGTGCTGGCGACAAGGTTGGTGACGTGGCACGTGTAGGAGCCCACGTCACGTAAGGTCACGTCGGGCACGCGTAGTGTGAACTTCTGTCGACCTGTCCACGCGTCACCTGGTGCATACACATTATTATTTTAAGCATAATTTCTCATTAACTCTGACACGTGATCATGAATTTTCATTGAAGGCAAAATTTCTATAGTTTTACATAGCAGTCTGGTACAGTTGTGTCGGCGCTGAAGAAAAAGGCCCATGGCCTGTCGCTAATTCATGCATTTTCGTGACTTGTTCAGATGAGCATTTTGATCAGATATTTTCAAAACTGACGTTGCTTCGAAATGGCTATTGAACATATACCAGGTCCATAGGGAGCTAGGCATATCCATGCAGTCAGTGATTTGCTATCTAAACAATAAAATTTCATCGCTGAATCCTAAAATCTATAATTTAAAATTTATAATCGAAAGATATCTATAGCCAAAATCGCTCAAATCTAAATGATTTCCGCGATATCTATATTTATATCTTAAAAATCTGATCATCTATGAATTAATTGAATTTGAAGTGCGCAGCATTGCAAATTTGCCAGATTCCCATGCAATAATAGCACGCATTTCCATGTAATATTATCGCAGTTGCTCGGAAAGTTTATAAAAATATCAGTACAGTATTGTAGGACCGTCATATATTACACAGAACGTTAAGGTACGGTGCACACGAGTGTTTGCACATTGCACAGTAATTCAATTTATTCGTATGTGCACATTAATGTGTACACGAGTGTCTGCACATTTCTGCCCTGACCTGTGTGCACAGGCGAAGAAGTGTTCTTCTCAGGCAGAACCTCCCGTAGCGGTGCTCCCTGTATGCGGTCGGATAATTAGCCATGTTGACAAACCAACGTAATATGTATAACATACGTATGAGTTACAGAGCAGCACGGACGTTACAATGACATGATGTTGAAATGTGACACACATATCACATTATACTCTGGGTTTTACTGAACAACATGGAAGATTCGAAGGATTAACAGGTTTTGAAGGCTAACTGAGATGCTTCGGTGAAACGTGGGAGTTACAATGTAACACGGAGCTATCATTGTAAGAGAGTAAGACGAATGTTTCATTGCAACAGAAAGTGACACTAAAATATTGATAATATATTACAACACATATTTTACAATAAAATACCTATACGCTTCATTATACTCAGATGTTAAAGCATTACATACATATCACAACATGAGATCGATGTTACAGCAGAAGACGCTATTCTCCAATTGCGGCTAATAAAACGAAGCATATCTGGGAGTTGTTTTTGTGAAATTGAGAACCGTTGAATTAACTTACTTACCTTTAAATTTAATATTACGCTCAGACAAACATGTCCAGAAATGTGTTTGGTCAGTGGAAATAATGAATTTTTTTATCTAATTGATAATAAGAACAGAGAATGTTTCACAGCGCGGCTTTCACGCAAACTTCTAGATTCAGTGTCGAACATCCACTTAGATAATTTCACTTGTTCTGTTGCCTGTATATTTTATATGAGTATCAAAAACATCACAATAATTGTCCTAATAAGCTGATCATGGGTAGACTCACATTTCTATAGACGAAGAGGGAGCGCAGGGGCGATGACGAGCTGACGAAGCAGTGCAGCAAGAGGGTCGCCCCAACCCTCACCTGTACACTCCCCTCTGTGCCTCCCTCTACTCCAGCACGCACTCTTGGTGGTCCTGGGAACATGTTTTATTATTTTAAGCTGTTGAAATGTTTATTTACCACTCTTTAAAGCAATTGGCAAACCGAAATCAATGTATTTGAACAATGAACCGAAATATAAATAATACGAATAAATTGGCGATAATGTCATCTTGTGCACGAGCTAAATGCTAGAAATAATTAAATTGAGTCACAAGAGAAACTGCTGAGCTCCAAGAATCTTAAGAAGAATCTGCCACACAAATCACGACCACAAGAAGATCAAAGTCCAAAATTAAATTGGGGTTAAATTTCGGGCAAAGGTGCACGAAATAATCAAGTTTAGTGCAGATTTTGCGGAAGATTTTTTGACATTTTTTGACATTATTACAGACCGAAAAAATGTGAAATTTAGAGATGAATAATATAATCGATTCTAGTATAAATCGTTCAGCAATGCCAGTGAGAGATAGGAATTTGTTCATCTACCCGATAATTTGAACGCATGTAGAAGTTATTGTTAATGCAGTTGAAAAAAACATCTTGGAGAAATTAAAAAGGAATAACAGATTGCCCAACAAGTAATTTTGAAAATAATCCCGGTCACGAGCATGCAGTGCACGCGTAAGACGATCGCTCAAGGCTAAAACTTGCGAGCTGAACGGTTGGTTTAATTTAAACTTGATTTCATGACAGGAAACGCGATGAAAACTTGTGCAGAATTAACTGAATATTTTTTATTTTTCAAGGCTTGCTGCATGCGCAGAAAAAAGAACCAAGTCTAGCTGATATGAAGGACTTTGCTGACACGCGCCATCAGCGCCGTCAATTTGCTCGTATTGCAAACTGTGCAGACTTTGCTGACGCGTCATGTTTATTTTTTATGTTCTTCGCTGTTTAGTACTGACATTGATATTCATTTATCACAGTGAGAAGAGTTTATGGTTGTTACGGTGTTTAGTACAGTAGCGACTGGGACTGCCGGTTGAATAATTAGCGGCGTTGTTGCAATTAATGCTCATATTCCTGATAATTCCGTTCCATGCATTGCGTTTGAATATAACCTGATGTAGCACTTCAATGAATATATTGACCAAATTTACGACGAATAGTACTACTTGTGTTGAGAAAATATTATTTCTAGTACTGCGATAGAGACTATTTTCACAGTTATGACGAAGTTTTTGCATCGAAATAGCGTGGTGAAACCTTTAAGAGGAATAAACTCATATCAACTATCAATAAAATCATAATTAAAGAATCGTATTTAGATTTATAAGGAGTACACACAACATGGCAACGTGTAACCACAAAAGAAGGAAGAGGTTTCGATAACATTAAATTGTTTGTTGATGATATTTGCGCTTTTCTTGATAAATAGAAGCTGATAATTCTGATTTACATTCGGTGTTGATGACATCATTTACGACGTCGTTACGCAGTTCTCATTTAACGACGTCGTAGCGTAGTAACTAGTAACGCAGTCCTAATTTTAATTTTACGATGTCGTAACGCCATCCTCATTTTACGACGTCGTATCGCAATCCTCATTTCAAGACGTCGTATCGCAGTCCTCATTTTACGAAATCTTACTGCAGTCCTCGTCTGTCGACGTCGTAATAAAATCCGCGTCTAACGACGTCGTAACGAAGACGTGGGCAGCAGGACTGCTGACTCAGCTTCATCAGCAGCAGACGCGCGTCTCACCAAAGAAGTGGCAGCAGCGGCGCTCACGGCGCTGGTCGCTCCGCAACTCAAGGTGCGAATGTTGTGTCCGCGGCGGTAATGAGGAACTCGTATGAAGTTATCAACAAAAAGTGAAGCACACGAAGATTAATTAATTGTAAAAACGAACTTTTATGTGCTCAAACAATTTATAGGGCTGTAAAAATAAACTTTTTAAAAATATTTTGATTTTATTAAGTAATCTTTATGTAGTTTTTGAGGTTGATTTCAAGAATGATATTTTTTCCATTACGTAAAACTTTCCAACAGGATAAGTTCGAAAAATCCCTATAAGCTGAATAGTTTAGATTGGTTCTATATTTAACTTGAACACACAACAATACGAGGCTAAAATAAAGAGTGTAGTGATATATTGCAAATATGTATTGCAAATTTGTATAAATCCCTGCAAAATCGTATTTTATTCATCAATGCTTCTTTTGGTGCTTTTTTCAACAACAACATCTTCTAGGATAAAGTACCGCTCATGGGAAAGTATGGAAAGTATATTTCGCAAGGTTTTACTGGTAAGAGGTATTGTTGGTAAGAGGTATTGCTGGTAAGAGGTATTGCTGGCAAGAGGTGTTGCTGGTAAGAGGTGTTGCTGGTAAGAGGTATTGCTGGTAAGTGGTAAGAGGTATTGCTGGTAAGAGGTATTGCTGGCAAGAGGTATTGCTGGTAAGAGGTATTGCTGGCAAGAGGTATTGCTGGTAAGAGGTATTACTGTTGGCAAAATATATTCATTTAGAGAGGAATGCGTGAGACTTAGTCCAAGTAGTGATGAATTTTAGTGTTTTTATGGGTCATCTTCACCTATTTATGTTCTGCAAAATGGCGTGTCAGTGCTACGTCCGCTCTCTGCTCGTGCTGTGAGTAAGATAGTTTGACACTATTTAGACTATATGGCTCAATGATTTGTCTGAGTGTAGGACAGTGGTTCTTAACCTTTTTGGTGGTACCGAACCCTGCTATTTCCATACATGCATTCATCGAACCCTTCGTAGGTGGAAAAATAAAATATGTTTTTTTTTTATTCAAAACATATGTCTATGCTATATACTATATAGCATAGACATATGAATATACTATATTCTGTATAACTGCATAAACTGTACCATGCATCATTTGCACACAAAATCGCTTTGTTGAAAGAAAAAAACCACACAACATAAATTTCGGGCATAAACAAACAAAATGAATATTCATTGCAGATCAACGTGATATTTTTTGTTGCCTCAGTGCGTCAATTTCAGGAATGCGCGGCTTCACTTTCGCAAGTGCCACTCTCATATCATTGTCACAACAAAGTTTGTTCATTTTCTTCGTTTTGATGTTTACCATCATCGAAAATGACTGCTCGCAAAGACTGCTCCGTCGAACCCCAGAAAACGACTCACCGAACCGCTGGGGTTCGATCGAACCCATGCGGTTAAGAACCAATGGTGTAGGATGATAAGGCTCTACTGGAAAGTAATTTTACATGTGTTACGTTAGTATCACGGGGTTGCGAGCGCCACGACAGGCAGCTAAAAAGTACTAAACCGGTGTTTTCCGTGGGTACTTAGCAAGAAATCAACTGGCTGCCACTTATACTATTATATATATTGCATACATATAATAGTAATTAATACTTAATAACACTTAAACTTAATAACACTTATACCCACTACAGGCACGTTACGATGAAAACGTGTTTATGTCGTTGAAACAACGGTTAATAAACGTTTTTTATGCCTAGTGTGGAGCGCTGCCTGAGGATTACTTTCATGCTACTCACCGGACACTCTAAGTACCAGGACCGCTTGCTGGGCCACTTGTAAGGCGTGGCCCAGCATGTCAGGGTACGTCGGGGCACATGTCAGGGTCGTGTTGTCGTGGTACGCGTGCGTCGTGAACGTTAGACGTGAGCGCAACGTGGTTGACGTGCGTGACGCGTCGAGCTCGTAGCCTTCCTGACGCGGGGGAATAATCATCCTTGTTACCCGTGATCATCAATACGGATGAATTATTATTTATAATTATTTTTACTAAGGATACAAAGGAAATATTAGCCTAACCACAGTGGATGTTATCTTTACTTCTCAGGGGCGAGTGCCAAGCCTCAGAGCTCAACGGTAATAAAAGACTATATAACAATAAAATAATTCCCGATAGCATCATACTATCTTCACAGCCAATTTTACCACAAGAGATCATATTGCATAAAATCAAACCGCAGATCATAATGCACTGCATCATTAAGCACATTACACCGCCCATTATCATACCACGTGTCATACCTCCAATCCTTCTGCCACGAAAAATCATATTGTATGTTATGTCATACAACGTCGTAGCAAGTGAGATCATGTCACACAACATCATGTCACGTAAGATCATGTCATGTCATCATGTCACATAAGATCATGTCATGTTATCATGTAACGTAAGATCATGTCATGTCATCATGTCACGTAAGATCATGTCATGTTATCATGTAACGTAAGATCATGTCATGTCATCATGTCACGTAAGATCATGTCATGTCATCATGTCATGTAAGATCATGTCACGTAAGATCATGTCATGTAAGATCATGTCACGTAAGATCATGTTACAAAACGTCATGCCACATAAAATCATATCATGTCATCATCTCACGTAAGATCATGTCATACAACATCATGCCATATAAGATCCTATTATACAACATCATGTAAGATGATGATGTAAGATCATGACGACATACAACATCACGTCACGTAAGATCATGTCATGCAATGCTAATCATACAATTTAATTCTTCACAACAAAACGTTCATTTGCCAGCACCTGGTCGCCCAGCGTCTCGCCCCCCAGCGTCCACGCGAGGCCGGAGCTGCCGAGGGCGCCGGTGGCCTCACACTGCAGGGTGAGGCGCCGCCCCACAGCGACGCTGACAACCTCGTCGTGGGGCTCCTCGGGGCCACCGCCCGGGGCCACGATCCACATGTCCAGGCGCTCGGCAGGGGCTGCGGGGCCACGATATGTCGTGGTGCGCGATAGACACGGTTGAGAAAAGATAGACATTATAAGCGTAACGAAAGGTGACATGATAGGTGACAAGTACGACGACACGATAGACGATACAATGGGCGTCATTGTTACACGGCTAACGACCGTAAAAATACAGCCAATACAAAACATACAGCATGCTCCATCCAGGGTTTGATTCAAGGTGCACAAAATATATTTTGAAAGATTTTAGAGGGCAACCCGCCGGGAGGGAAGCGTGCAAGGGCAACCCACCAACGAGGGAGAGGCGCACGACCTGCGTCAGGGCCGGCGCTAGGCCGGCGATGACGGCCGTGTTGCGGGCGCGGCAGCGCAGCTGGCGGCCGTCGTCTTTCCTGTTGAAAAAAAGTCAAAAAAGTTTAAATCAAAAAGTCAAAGTTGAAAAAAGTCAAAAGTTAAAATTTCTCATCAGCATCACTTTGGTTAAGTTCATGTCAGGACGGAATGAAAAGCTTCGGACTTTACAATGTTATCATCAAGATCGTTCGCATGAATCTTTTCGGTAATCTTAAGTCCTGTGATTTTCTTAACAACTAAATTCAAACCAACGCTTGTTTGTCTAATAAAGCCTCATACAAAACGACAACGAACCCTATAACACATAAATGATATATGCACAAGTGATAGTGACCTGGTGAGGTTAGTGATGGTGAGGTAGGCCTTGGTGACGTCTGAGTCAGCAGCAGGTCTGCTGACGCCGGCGTGGGGCGGGACGTCGGTCTGGTCGCTCAGCAGCAGGTCGCCCTCCAGCCACTGTACCTCAGGCCGCGGCCGGCCTGTGCAGACAATTTCTTCACTTGATCGTAATTTTTTTTTTAATTTCGAAATCGAAATTTTTGTAGCAGTAATAACTAAATGAAAAATTTCGAAAATTGATTAATTATTAATTTCGAAAATTAAATAATTAAAAATTTTCGAAATATCGAAAATTAATTAATATGAAAAATTTCGAAATTAATTAATTAAAATTTTCGAAAATGTAGCAGTGACATAATAGCAGTAATAGAGTAAAAATGTTTCTAGTTTTCTTATTAAGCCTGATCCCATAGGTTAGACAGCCAGCCAGATAAATGTTTAGTACCACAACATTTTTCTTAGTCACACAATGAAGGGGTATTGATGTACATATATCCCTGATGAATAGAGAACCAATTTATCTTTTCGGCATGAATATGGAGTGTTTCCTCGTAAATTATATATTCATCTGTAAAATTGTTTACTGAAAATATCTAAAATAAATCTAAAAATACAATGTCGTATTTCGTCCCTGAAAAACCGCAACGTTTACAGAATAATAATTCCAATTACAGGTTTCGAGCGACCAATATTTCGATTTACTGATGAAGCGACTGCGTAAATAATAGTTTAAGGCAGCGACATAAATATTATTTCACTTCTGTATTAGCAAGCGTCTAGCCGAGTCAGGTAATGATCTTGCTCCAGCTTGCGCTCAAAAGCTAGTCAGTTTTAATTAACAAATGTAATGAGTAATTATATACCGAAGTTAAAAAAAATCAGTTGAAGATTATCTAGATATGTAAGTCGCGAAGATTTCTCTTAAGATTTGGGTTGAGGTCTTTTTTCAAACGAAATATGTTTTAATTTTGCTCTAGGTGGTTGTGGGAAGAATATTCATTACTATCCGGTTTTTTCCTTGCTAATATGACTTTTAAAACAGCATATATGCAACCGGATATTACAAAATCAATAATACTATAACGTCTTATCATCCAAACAACTATCGTTTTAGTAGAATAATGCCAGTGCAACCGCGATGTCATCATAATCAGATGGTTAGGATCATCACCAAATTGCATTAACGGATGTTACAATTTTCTTAGTGAAAATAACTAGGCGTTTATTTTTCATAGTGAAATAGGCATGCGTAAATTTTCATAGCGGATATAGATCTGACTATCCTCAGGGTTCTGTCAAAGTTGATTTAAATTCAAACTCAGTCCTGGGAAAAGGAGGTCATTGAGTTGGTGGGCGCCAGGTAACCCAACTCAATCCCCCGGGGTGATTTGGTAACAAAACTCAATCCCCCGGGGTGATTTGGTAACAAAACTCAATCCCCCGGGGTGATTACTCACCCCCGGTGGCGAGGCAGACGAGGGTGAGTGACGAGCCGACGATGCCGCGTGCAGGCGAGTCTGCCACTCCAGAGTATCCCTCCTGGCTGCTGAGTACCTCCAGGTGACGAGGGCCTTCTGCACGTCACCAGAGTTACGACACGTCACCACAGTTACGACACGTCACCACAGTTACAACACGTCACCACAGTTACAACACGTCACCACAGTTACGACACGTCACCACAGTTACGACACGCCACCACAGTTACGACACGTCACCACAGTTACGACACGTCACCACAGTTACGACACAGACGTGACAAGGCACCCAACAGGTGGCAGATTGTCTTGTGATGAACACAATAGACGTGATTTAAATTTTAAATCGATGTTTCAAATTAGTTCCTTTAGTTGCATTTAGTTGTTCGTGTACATGATATAAATGACACAGTAAACGATCATGTAAAGCATTTACGAGCATATAAACCTTATTCGTCTCTTTGTTACAGGTCACATTGTCACATTGATCATTCGAATTGCTCGTGCTTCAAATTTTTAGTTCAAATTAAACTCGCACACAAAATACTTCCTTTGTTCAGCAGTAATTCATGCGACGAAACACATCAGCTGGCAGGACGCTTGATGTAAATTTGAATACTTTGAATAATTTGAATACTTGATGTAAATTTGAATGTGTATTAGTTGCGTCAATTAAAATGCCATCAACATGACGCTCTCGATAAGCTCCATAATTAATCATAATCTCGATAAATTAATAATAATTAACACGTTGAGTGCGGCCCGACCTATGCACCGGTGGGTTGCAGGGTATTTTTTTCCAATATTCCGCAATTTAGTTTTTTCAATTGCGTTTGTCGACCAAAATTTATAATAACAGTACAAACTCAATAAATTTTAAAGTCTACGGAAAAAATTTAAATGTAATTTTTGCACCGGAACCTTAAAATTTACTAGCATATTTAGAATTATATGCTGTTTTATCCGCGGACTTGGCCGTTTTTAGGCCATCTGCCAGCGCTGGTAGGTAGTGCCGTACATAACGTGTTAATTTCGAATATTATATGTTCATTTAAAACGTTAAGATACTGACCACTGTTTCTTTCCAATGTTTAAATATTATTAAAAGTTCATTATTTATCAATATACGAAAACATAACCCCTTAGGTCTAACCCAAGACGCGCAGGAAGCTGTGGGTGTTGACGCTGGGCCGCGTCCTGAAGTCCACCCGGCAGTGGTAAGCGCCTTCGTCGGCCTCCTCCACCGACGAAACCCGCACCTGCAGCGCCGAAGTCTCGCCCGCCCTTACGTGTCCAGTTTATAACATCAACATCAATTTTAAGGTAGACATGAACGTGATGATGGATATGTTCACTGCATTAATCGTTATGAAGACGATGTCATAAATGGCAATGTTAATCTTTTTTTATGTTGATATTTAAATAATTTCAAGAAATTTGACAGCACGCAATGAGTGCCGCAAAAGATCGTCCGTGCCACGATGTCTGCACGTCAGTGCAGTTTGCCTGGTGCAAGTCTCAGAGAAGAGAGATGGTTTGACATACTGTCGGTACGCTGCAAACCTCGTGTCGAGTGTGTTAGCTTTTTACCGGAAGATACGGTAACTAAATGAAAGCTGTACGATGGTGCAGTGGTATCGTAGAGCTGTATTCGGCAACTGAATGGAAGCTGTACGGTTTATATTTCGAAGATCGATAACCGGCTGCAAGTTGTATTCATATGAAATTTTCCCCTTTCGAGAAACGACTATTTCGCGTATCCGTGAGGAGAACCGGACTAAGTTAGATTGTCTCCCTCCGTTGTTTGATTGCGCTCTCATAGTAAAATTGTCCGCTTTACTCGAGCGGGACTGATTCAGAGGATCCATTCAGTGCCTTCGCTCTTGAGTTACATTGATACAAGTTCGGTGATAATGCATCGTTTATTTTTGCCAACTCATTATTACAGCAGCATACAACAAAAGAGAAAAAATACAAAAACACATAATGAAAAAAATCACATAAAATATATAAACCGTTTTAATGTGATCCAACCATTCCTTGAAAATGTTTAGCAACTAGAATTAACCTACGCAGCCAAGGATATTAACCATGTGAGCCTAAAACTCTATGAGAAATAAATAAAGTGGCTTGATGGGCGTAGCAATTAAAGTTAAGGAAAATGTGCATAATGCAAAATATTTGAAATTTATGAATGGATACAAATAAATAGGAGCTTACTGACTACACGCTACCGTTGACATGCGTGTCGGCATTACAGATAAGATAAGGAAAGCTTCATCGATAAAGAGTGTAACCACAGCAGCAGATATTTGTGCGGCAGTTCAGCTGATATGGGCACGAAATTGGTATCAGCAATAAGTGACGCAGATATTGATGACATGCAAAAGGCATCCTTTGTCAGCGCAGATGTTGAGAGTGTAAAAGGGAGCACCAGACCAATGTGAAGATATCACTTTCATCAAGGGAACGAAAAAGAGGATTAGTTAGACCCAGCAAGCTAATGTTCATGCAGCATCATATTTGCAGGCATTGCTCCGCTCTCAAATAAATTCGCATCTGTGCAGATTCTTAGCTGGTGTGTACGATGTGAGATTAACACGATGCATGTAAGGTTAAATTACAGATAGTTTAATGTTCATGTTTACGGAGTTCAATGTCACTCTAGGTTTATGGTAGCCATAACAATTAGCAATTTCCTGGAATCAATTGTTGCTCTTACAAAGATTTGGTGACCGCATCAATTGTTCCACAGAGAACCGACATAACAGGTGTTGCATGTAACATTACCATCTTCCTCCTCAGCAATATCACCACCATCATCCACAGCGACATCATCACTCACTGCATCATCACCTACACAAGATTTAACAGCAATCGATAAAGAGTAATAAAAAGTGGCCCACTGCAACACCATCACCACCTACAACAACAACACCAACCACTGCAACACCATCACTACCTACAGCAACACCACCCACTGCAACACCATCACCACCTACAACAACAACAATAACCACTGCAACACGACCAACACCTACAGCAACACCACCCACTGCAACACCACCAACACCTACAGCAACACCACCCACTGTAACACCACCACCACCCACAGCAACACCACCACCCACTGCAACACCATCACCACCTACAACAACACCACCCACTGCAACACCACCAACACCTACAGCAACACCACCACCCACAGCAACACCATCACCACCTACAACGACACCACCACCTACAGCAACACCATCACCACCTACAACAACACCTTCAGCAACACCATCACCACCGCCTAGCATGCCTAATTACCTCGTATTATGATGGCCATCACCCCCAGCATCTTCTCCCCCGTGAGGCTGCAGCAGGAGGTGCACGCGGGACCCGTTACGAGTGGCCTCTCTGGCGGCGGTCATCAGAGGCTGGGTTCTTGCGTCCACCCTACGGCGACACGTCAAGGATTTCATTATCATTATTCGAAATCATCATAATTAGCCACATCAAGTGTTTAAAGGTTTATGTTAATGTAAAGCCGTTTTTAAAGGTTTATGGCCGCATTATCGAAAAACGCTTTCGTACATTTAGCGGCCGGTTTCACGTCTGTGATTTATTTAGCTTGAAAAGCCTTCAGTGATTGGCTGACTGAGCTTCTAATTCGTAACTATTTTCGGTATTACGGCCCCAAGGGACTAGCTTTACCGTCAGAAAAGTTAAAAAAAAACCTGAATTGAGCGGATCTTGAATTGAAAATCGTAACAAAATCATATGATGTCATCAATGCAATATTAATGTTAAAATTTCCACAAGCGGGTGAATCTCGATTAACAAAGCTCATATGGTTCAACATTTTCCCGTAAAGTCACAATTATACCCAATTTTTTTCTGACCGATACATTTTGGGAGAGGCGAGGTGGCGTTTTTGTAATTTGTGCGTATGCAAAAGCGTAATTAAAACTTGAAGCACAGATGCCTCAGGAAATCATGTCCCAGTTTCACGAACATCGACGTTAACACGTAGGATGAACAACGTTCACCGAAGTATGATTTGATGCAGCGCCTGTGGGACTATTATGATCTCATTATGATTGTAGGCTGAAATAAGATCAGAATTTAGGCTTCTTCGTCTGTGAATAGCATTCGGCTTCAAAATCTGACCTGTAATTGGCAGGAAGTCTGTAATTGTTTCATGAACGGGAATTCCATTTCACTGAAAAATTGCATTTTTTGCGACCGTCAAAAGCTCCTAAATAAGCGACACTCACACAAACACAGGCGTGTTGGTGTGGTTGTGGAAGAGCAACACCACGACCACGTCACCAGCGGCAGACGTGGTCACCACCCCGCAGTCCAGCCGCGCTTCCCGTCCTGCAACCGTCCACACCACCGCCCCTGCGGCACACCCGAACGGGTTATTGATGCCTCGAGGCGTCCACACCACCGTCCCTGCGGCACACCTCAACGGGTTATTGATGCCTCGAGGCGTCCACACCACCGTCCCTGCGGCACACCCGAACGGGTTATTGATGCACCGAGACGTCCACACCACCGCCCCTGCGGCACACACCCGAACGGGTTATTGATGCCCCGAGACGTCCAAACCACCGCCCCTGCGACACACCCGAACGGGTTATTGATGCACCGAGACGTCCACACCACCGTCCCTGCGGCACACACCCGAACGGGTTATTGATGCACCGAAGCGTCCACACCACCGCCCCTGCAGCACACCCCAACGGGTTATTGATGCACCGTCTGGAGGCAGAAGTTAAATTTGGACATTTCCAGGTTCCAGGCAACAGTCTCACAGTACAGGCGATGCTTACTCAACGGCAATAAGTCGAATATTTAAACTGACAACATTCCCACGGAACTGGCATCAGCACAGGATGACGACTTGCCATTGTTGTGCCAGTTTCTTGTCCAAATCAATTCACATGATTTAACAATAGGAATATTACAGATTTAAATTGTTTTAGCTTTCATTTATAATACTATCACTAAATTGATATCGTCATTATCAGGAAGCCGTTGATATAAAGCCTGGAATCCGTAGCTTCAACGGCGTTGAAGAATAGAAATTTCCTAGATCAAGCAATAAAGTTTGGTTAGAATATTTTCGCAGGGATAATGTTCAACTTAATTTAAGTGCGTTCTATAACGTTTCGGTTTTCGGATTGCAATTTCTGCGCTCTTAGTTGCCTCACTATCGCAGGAAGGATCGATAATATGGAAAAATACCACGACCCGGCTAGGCAAACATATTTTATTTATGTTTGTAGTCTATAGCAAACACGATTAATTAAGTTCCGTCAAAAGCAACAGTAAAGGACTTGGATAGAATAAAAAAAAAAAGGGTAGGAAAAACGCGGTCAAATCCGTACATTTCAATTATACATTTTTGCTAAATTAAAAAAATTATCACTCCCAGAATTGAGCCAACTTTCATTACAAATGAAAATCAATGCCATTTTTCTAAAGAGTGAAAATTTCGATGTATTTTTTCGGTGGTTTTCTTGTTAAACCATCACGAAAAATTTAAGTTTACATTTTGAAAATTGATAAGCGACTTTAAATCGAACTAAAGTAGAACCGACATCGATATTTGCATCGGCAAAAAATTGTCGAAGTGGCCTATCATTTAAAGACGACTTGTACGAGGTTACCAAATGAACGTTACAAAATTATTAGTTTAACGTTGCTGCAGAGTTATTTGTAAATGTAAGTGCGGAGTTATAAGTAAATGTTAATTAGATAACCGTTATTGCAGGGCTAGTTGTGTTAACCGTAAACGTATAAATAGAGTTTTTAGCTTAGTCTATCAGCAGTTGCTAGTAATTTTAAGAGGAAGGCATAAATTACGAAGCTTCAACGATACACCAAAGTAGGTTTCAATAACGATTTTCATGTTCATATATGTTACAACAACTACAAACAAACATATGTGCATGGCATCTCAAAAATTTAGGAAGGTTAGTGTTAGATTGATTAATTAATTAACTAACCGTCGACGGCATAGTGCATACAATAACTATAGCAATATTAGAGGTTTTAATTGTAGGGCAATGTTCCTCACCGTAATCTATGGCCGACTGATGGACAGCATCACGAGTCAGCACGGCACTGCTTGTCAGCATCAGCAGCGGCAGCATTTTAATGCATGCAGTGAATAGCGACATCACGGCTTGAATTTATGATAACAGATCGATGTAGATGATAGTTAAAGTAGTTAGAGTTGAAATTATTTTAAATTTACGCACACAAAGACGATGTGTATTGATCTTCCAACACGGACGGTGGTACCAGGAAAAAGTTTTATTTGAAATACAACATTTATTATTCCATCATAGCAATAGCCTGTCTATAAAATGTACAAGTAAAGCATAAACGTGATCATATCTCACCAACGTGACTATTTTATAAAGGAAACTTAGTTAGTTGCTCAATATATATACAAGTGCGGTTCAACGTTTTGTGAAATGGCAAAATTTAAAGTTAAATTAACGAAACAGATTAACAGACATTATGTTCAATTAGGCTTGACGCAGGAAAAAATTATGAGTTCACTGTAGAATATTCCTCATCCCGGTATTTTCTTCCCACTGTGTATCAGACTCTTTCATGAGCGCCGCTCAAGTGTACTTACTCAAGCACCAATCAGACACGCACTGACGCACTGAGATCCATGTGATCAGTCAATCACTGTTCACTGCTATGGTACTGACGGGTGATGTGATCAAGGTTTGAACCTTGGCGGCTGAATGGTAGCTCAGCTACATGCGCACAGGAGTGTTAAGACATATGCGTAGAAATTATGAATGTTTCCGTTATTAGAATTTGTGTTTGACTATTTTGTGGAAGTAATATAAATCAAATGATAGGTGCAATTTTGGAAAAAAATTAATTTTTCCAAATATGTAAAGCCTTTGAACATTTAACAATCTGCCATTGGATTTACCAGCCAGTTTTAATTTTTGACAAGATGCAGCCGGTCTCACAGCTTTTAAACTGACAGGAGCGAGTGCGAGAATATCTCTAAAGTCAATAATAACATATCGACTAAACGTTGTCAATATTTCGATAAGAACCTTGTGATCATATTTAGGTCGTGCTATTTTTCCCGTCTCGGACAAATTTACAGCACGTCTCGGACAAATTTACGGCCGGACTTAAATAATAATAATAGCGGTTTCAGCGTTTATTAGGCCGTAGGCCTGTCGCCGATTCTTAACATCGCAGAATATTCACAGCATTTTGAGGTCTCGAACTCGCAACGCACTGCTACAATTCTGCTGTGCTTAACCGCCCGGCCTCCTTGCCGATTCTGACCAGAAACTGGCGCACAGAGCTGGGATCGAACCCGCGTCTCTCTAGTGCGTCAATCTTGGTACTCTTAACTTTAACCACTGGGCCGGTCTCGCGGTCGCGGTGTCAAAATTCAGTGTACTAGAACATTTTCCAAATTACTGAACGTAGCTCGATGAAACTTTGTACACGTATTCATTATGGCCTGACGGTGATGCCAAGCTCGTGACAATTTTTTTAATATAGCCTGCATTCGTGAGTTATATGACGAAACGTGCCGAAATTTGCAGTGTACCAGAGATTTCTTCTAAAATACAGAACAGATTTGAACGAAAAGTTGCATATAAAAACCTAACCTCCCAACGGTGATGTTTAGCTCGTGACAATTTTTTCGATTTTGCCTTCGTTTGTGAGTTATACGGATATACGGAGAAACGACCGGCATTTCTCAGGCTGATTTTTGAACAGGTCTCGGACAAATTTACGGCCGGACCCGCGGCCGGAATGGTTTTCTTAGTGTTTTATGGGTTTTTCTGTTCTTTTTTGTATTTTTAATGGAACCTGTTCCTAACTGGACCTAACCTGCGAGGTTTTCGTTGATTGGCTAGGTTTTTTCTATGTTTGGAGTCCGGCGGCCGCGAGACCGGCCGCCGCGGGGCCGGCCGTAAATTTGTCCGAGACGTTTTTTGAACTTGCATTGACCAAGAGCCATATACGTAAAGCCGTATAACTCGCAAACGAAGGCAAAATCGAAAAAAATTGTCACGAGCTAAACATATCCGTTGGGAGGTTAGGTTTCTAAATGCAAAATTCCGTTCAAATCTGTTCAGTATTTTAGAAGAAATCTCTGGTACATTGCGAATTAAAGCACAATTTTGCTGTTTAAATCACGAATGAGGGAAAAGAGAAAAATACTCTCCAAAGAAGGCAAAATCGAAAAAAATTATCACGAGCCAAACATCACCGTTGGGAGGTTAGGTTTCTATATGTTAAGTTTCGTTCAAATCTGTTTTTAGAAGAAATCTCTGGTACACTGCAAATTTCGGCACGTTTCGTCATATAACTCACGAATGAAGCCGATATTAACCAAATCACATAGAGGTGATGGTTAGTGTATGATTTTTATATTCATCTTCATTCAGATTTACGGATAACCATAAGGAACATAAGAAACGGCCAACTTTCAGGTTGGTTTTCAATTTCGCAGTGGGCTCAGAAAAGTATCTTCCAAACTACGGAACCCATTTCAATTCATTTCTCAACACCTCCTAGCAAGCATCTTATAGTGAATTGAATTTATGTATATCTTTGGTTTTGCAATACGTGATACTGAGAGCGACTCATGAGAGTAACTAATGAACCCATACATTAATGTTCTGATACATACCTCATCCAGGCTTCCCGGTAGAAAAAGCCGCTGCCGCTGCGGTGACCGTCTGCATGCAGCTGGTGGTGACTGGTGACTGGTGAGCGGCGTTGAAAACTTGAAAATGTAGTTGTACTGTTGTAATGTCATTATGTGGCCTGAGTTGCCCTCATTTCAACATTACCAATTTATCCTGCTCTGCAAATAATTAAGTTTTGTAAAATAGAAGGCTTAGTGTCTAGTGAGTTAGTCAGACTCAGGCGGGGAGCCGGGGACCACACGGAAAAAAATATTAATAAGAAAGTGGGTATTATTGCAGATTAACTACATCCAAAAAAAAGGGTGTTTTTTTTTTAATTATATGTTTTTTGGGGTGTAGATTACGAATCTGAAATCCATTTAAAAAATCGGTTTTCCGATGCCGACCGCCAAAAATGGATTTCAGATTCGTAATCTACACCCCAAAAAACATATAATTCAAAAAAAAAACACCCTTTTTTTTGGATGTAGTTAATCTGCAATAATACCAGAAAGTGACCCCAACCCAATGAGTTTCACCTGTGCCATGAATAATATAGAAAATCTCGGTTATTATTGGCAATCAAGATTCAAGAACATGTTTTTTTCTAGGGTCAACATACAAAGTCTGAATGCAAATTAAGCATATGCATTGCTTCACAATTTTATGAATGCCAATGGTAATTTGTAAACAGTCAAAATTTAACTTGGTTTACAAATAAATTTACATTTAAAAAAAATTAATTGTTATGTACCTCTCATCTCTGACTCCAACATTGGTAGGTTCTGATCTGTTTCAACTTTCAATGACAATGCAAGACTTATTATTGCAAGTTTGGGACTTTGGCCTTGGGTCACTTTGGGTCTTGGGACAGGCAGCGCAAGCATCAACTAGCCTACTACACCTACATGTGTGACATGGCATAGGGACGATAGGGTAAACGCGGTATATTCCTACACTTTGAACGGTTTGAGGACGTAGCAAAAAATGAATGGCTTTAAAAAAAATGTATGCGCAACTCAAGTTCTGTTTGCTTTACGTCACTCACCAAACACCGCACTATGCTCCAGCCACACTCAGGATTATGTATGTTTTCAGGGAATTTTCCCGCGCATTTTGACTTTTTTCAAGCCAATGCTATGCACAGTTGGTGAAACTTCTGGCCATCCCTGCTTGCACGTGCAAGCATTGGCGCAGCGCACGGAAGCGTCGGCGCAGCGCGCACATACATTTTGTCAAGGGACAAGAGACAGAAAACGTATAATACTTAATATGCGTTTAATTATCCATCAATAATCTATGATTTTCCTTGATATGGAAATTTTATGAAAGTAAAAATCTAGAAATTTATTTTTGAAGAAATTTTCTATAAATTTCTTATACAAACTAACGAACATCATTTGTTTACCTTCCATAGACCGTCCGGACTTGAGGCAATATTTTGTCCGGACGTGAGGAAAGTTGTGAATGACCAAGTCCTCAGAAATTGGACATATGAAGTAAACAAATATTAGTGTTAAACCATGGTCAGGAAGATGTGCCAGGTCGCAGTGTGGAATTCCAGAGGGGTAATATATCAACTGGTAAACATAGCAAATCAGAAAGCATGACCCAAAAATCTGGAACGTCCAGCACACTTCCACTTTCAGTCCATCATAATCACTGATGAGTGTCTGCAAGATGCCACAGCTGTTTCATTGAAAAAAAACAGCGCTTGCATCATCACGGTAACAAGAATCCAATCAACGCTTGAACGCGTCCAACGTAACAGTCACAAGAATCCAATCAACGCTTGAACGCGTCCAACGTACTGTCACAGGGATCCAATCATCGCTAGAACAAGCCTTCTAAAGTTTTAATAATGAAGAAATCACAAGGTTCACAGAATCTAAAGGTTTGAATACTAAACTTTTGACTTTCGAGTACTCTATTGACTATCGAGTCTATTCTAGTCAGTCAACTGTGAAGTGTCATGTTTGTTGTGCATTGCCTTTTCTTCGAGAAGTTTCTCCAACTGCCGATGAGTGTCTCCTCAATTTGAAAGCTGAGGTAACGAATAGGTGCCATAAATGTTTTTTTTATATTTAATTCGAAACTATTATGTTGCGAGTAAATAGTATTTCCTTCTGTAGATCCAATATCCCTCTTGCTCATCTGTGAGACTGTGAGTAACGCGCGCAATTAACAATCTTGCATGGGACCTTCTCTGTGTTGCCTGACTTGACGTTCATACGATCATAGCTACCGTAACCGAAGCTGATTTCTGATGGCCTGCAAACCTGTTTCTAGTTGCCTGGAACGTTTTTTTTAAGGCGGAACGCTTTTTTTTATGTGAACCACGAATTTTAGAATTCCAGCCTGGCCAGGTGCGCGGGAATTTATTTTGTCATTTTATCAACCTGTGCGGTGCGTCGTACTATGTTGGTAAAAAAATGCGCCGTGCGCCATACTTTAGAAAGCTAAAATAGTTCTACTATTTTAGTTGACAATATATGCGAGTATATTGACTACGCGAGTCGAACTGACAATAATAAAATGTAAGACATATCCGGGTTACTTCTGACTCTTCCAATTGTCCGCCTTGTTGGATACGGAACGTACGGTAATCATTAAATTGCGGCTGTTATACATACGAAATGTAAACAGACGGTGTTCAGTGTTGCCATATGACTTTGGAGAAAATTTTTTCTAAAATAAAGATGGCCGGGATTGCGGGAACACGTGCGCGAAGATAATCAATTTTCATTACATTGCGCCAACTGTGCACAGCAATAGCTTAAAAAAAGTGAAAATGCGTGGGAAAATTCACCAAAAACATACATCATCCTGAGTTTGGGTGTTAAATGACAGATTTTGCTCGTTCTATACGTATATACTATTATTGCACTGATAGGGTTATTAGAGATTTTGCCTTTAATGAAAGGAGTCAGAAATGATTTCATCATTGTAATTAATGGACAAATTTACGGCCGTACTTGCGGCCGGTTTTGCGGCTGGACTGTGTACCTGAAATATCTCCCATAGTGGGTAATTCCGACACTTCTTGACTTTTTTCCATTATATTAAGCTTTTTCTTAGTTCCATGCATTCGTTGATGGCTGAAATAGTGTCATCATATTTTTGTGCGCCATACTATTGCCAAAACACTAGGTTTGGGCCGTCTGGCGGGAAAATGTTGAGATCCAAACTCCAAAGAGAGACAGTGCGCGTCACCCAGTGAGAACATTGAAAAATGTGTCAAAGTTGATAGTTGACCTTGCTCTACCAAATAGTGATAAACTGTTTGTGTAGAATGAATATTATGGTTTGAGACTTTTAAATATGTCTGTGAATATATTAGGAATCCTTTAAGTATACTTGTATTTGCTGATTTCATGTGGTAAAAAATTAATAGATGATTCAGTTAGGAGATGGTTCTAGACACATAAAAACTAATTCTGACAGCTTGGAATTAAACACACACAGCTTGTTCCAAGCTGTGTGCAAAAATTAAAATTTTCTTAATTAAAGCTTGATAGCTTTTAATTAAAAGCCTAATTAAGGAGTGTTCAATGTTCAATAGTGTTCTAATTCCAAGCTGTGTCGTATTCCAATACAGCTCGTTCAGCGATCGGAATTTGAACACAAGAGTGTCGTAATTACGAATTAGTAGAGTTTGAAGCGCGGCTGGAATTAGTCTCACAATATGCCCAATTTAGTCACACACAGTGTCGGAATATATGGATTTGGTAGGTTTGCATTCTAAAGGCTTTTAAATAAATATGGCAACATTTTGTGAGGTTTCATTGTTGCTGGCGTGTAGTGCGGTGTTTTTGAGATTGACATGAAGCAAACAGAACTTGAGTTGCGTGTACAGTGTATTTTTTATAGCCATTCATTTTTTGCTACGTCTTTAAAGTGTCGGAATATACCGTGTTTACCCTATGTTGAAGATCAGATTTGAAGTTGAACTTGTTCTTTCTTTCCAAATGAATGCTCTTGTTTTCATCGAGGAGACGTTCATTCCTTTCCTATCTGCTCTACTCTAGATTTTGTTTTCCATTTGATTCCTAATTTAGAGTAAACTCAGCTTTGAGGATTTGTCATTTTTGCAATTGATATTGATCCAAATTCCGACACAGTTTACAGTTTTTCAAAACAAACTTACAGAACAAAGTTCCATAGCATGTTTTCCATGCATAAGTTTATGAAATCAAAAATGATCTTTACCTAATTAAAAACAGAACTATTCACTGACAATGAATTAATTAATGTCTCCTTATTAAGAATGAAGATGTCTATTTACAAAATGCTGTTACGAGCGTTGTTAGAATTTAACTTTTATCTCAATTTTAGGTCAGCTTTATTTTTGCTTGTATAGTACCGTAAAATGGGGTTACTTTGACCGGCAGGGTAACTTTGACCACTTTTCATTTTTTTAACAAAAACCTCCAAAACTCAAAAATGATTTGACATAGAAATATTTTGTCAATGGCCATCAAAGGCCTAATACTAAGGCTACGTAACACAATAGAAAGATTTAAAAAGTTTGCATATCCAATAGGTTAAAAAATTAATAATGTGACCCACAAAAAAGAGCTATTATTTAAAGCCTGTCGGAGTACCCCCTCCAATTTTTTTATTTTTTGGTAAAATAACTCCAGGTTTTGATGCATTGTAGTAGAACTCTTCTAGTTACATATGCAAAAGACAAATTTTAGGAAAGTGTCATAGTTTGCAAGTGGGGGGCGCTGCCCCCCAATGGGGTAACTTTGACCACCTAATGGCAGCTGTGACGAGGTAACATTGACTGGCTTGAAAATTAAGTTAAAATTACCATAGGTACCTATATAACATATTTTATGTTTGATACACCTATTAATGTTTTTTTCTTTATGTTTCAGACTCTACAGAGTCTTATCTCTTATATATGGTAATTTTAACTTAATTTCCAAACCGGTCAATGTTACCCCGTCACAGCGGCCATTAGGTGGTCACATTTCGCCCATTGCCCCCCATTTACAAACTATGACACTTTCCTAAAATTTGTCTTTTACATATGTAACTAGAAGAGTTCTACTACAATGCACCACAACCTGGAGTTATTTTACCAAAAAATAAAATTGATTTTACCACCCGGTCAAAGAAACCCCAAGAGCTGGGGTAACAAAGACCATCACTTTTTTTAAAATTACATCAAAACTATGAGAGGCAGGAGCCAGCAATTTATGTTGAGCAAAGCTAGAGTATAGACCTGTATTTTGCATGTTTCAATTTAAGTTTACCTTATCAAGTAAAAAATGGCATCATTATGAAAAAAAAGTGGTCAAAGTTACCCATTTTACGGTATTAGTATATACCTACCTCATTGCAGAGTGGAATTCTATCAAGGAAGGTAGTTTTGTCAGTCCACCTTGAGCCATTGTTCTGGCAGACTAAACCCAGTCCACAGCTCCTATTTACAGTCTATACCCAGCTGCAGGCCCCTGGGCCCTGGCAATTCCCTCTCAACCTGTGGGCCACTCTCAGGAAGATGTAGGCTTTTGGGGAATATTCCTGCACAAAATGAGCTTCCTAAAGCTAATGGTCCGCACAATTTGCGCAGAAATATCTCAATACCACGCAGGATTGCTCAAGATGGCGCCGTTGGCAGTAGCAGACGGCCGCACAAAGTAAGTGGTGGCAGCCAGCAACCGGCACTGAATGCAGCAATGGTCTTCAATGCACGTACCTGCATGGCTGTGAGTCACACAGATACCATCCTGTAACTGCACTGCCACCGTTGTTAGCATAAACCGGCATTGAACATGTGTATGGTCACTATTACACGTCCAAAATGAACATAGACATGCGGACACTATGAGCATCGACACCTATCGGCATTGTGAGAAGATAATACCGTCAACCGGGGCAACTCGGGACTGGCGGGGCAACTCGGGACTGGCGGGGCAACTCGGGACGCACCTCTGACACGGCGTAAAACTGTTATAGTAGCGAAACTAATTGGAATATTGCAAAACTAAATATAGTGGCGTAACTTTTTTTGCTTCTGGCACCTTACGAATAGCATATGGAATTTTTTTGAAGATGCCATTCGATAGCCCTCGCAAAGAGCTATAAAATGAGCCTAAACTTGTTTATGAAATGTTTCATCGTAAGAAGTTATTAACAAAAAACGCTCAAAACCGTCCCGAGTAGCCCCGGTTGACGTTATGTCATAGCATAGCTGCAGCTTTTGGCAGCAGCAGGGATTGAACTATATATGGTTATTAATACACTACAAGCATTGACACCTATCATCACTGTGAGAAGCTATTACGTCATAGCATAGCTGCAGCATTTGCCAGTAGCAGGGATTGAACTATATATGGTTATTAATACACTACAAGCATTGACACCTATCGACATTGTGAGAAGATATTACGTCATAGCATAGCTGCAGCATTTGCCAGTAGCAGTGATTGAACTATATATGGTTATTAATACACTACAAGCATAGACACCTATTGGCCTTATGAGAAAATACCCTTGCTCCCATTCTCGAAAATTGGGCAAAGGCCACCTGCAAATTAGACAAAAATGTCCGTTCATGTGTGTGTGGTAAATTTTCCCTGTTTTTATAGCCACTAGAAATTAAGAATATTTCACCACTTTATAATTTATGTTATGGCAAAGAAATTATTTGCAGCAATATAACTGCAAATAGTACCTATTGTTCACAGGTACCTACTTCATTTGGTTGTTTATTTACTTTCTAATATTTATCTTATATTATTTATCAAGAAAAAGTTCATTTGTCAAATTTCTTTACTGCTTCATCTACACTTTTTGTCAGCAAGTTAAATTTGCATTGATCAACTTATCAAAAGTTCCCCAAGTTTCAAATAAAAATTGCCACATTGGTATACAGCTGCTACTAGTTTGATGGTTTCCAATTATTGATAGTTTGATGGTTTCCAATTATTGGGATGGTTTTGCATCCTATCCATTACCCTGGAGTTTATATTAGTTTTAACGATATTCATTTAATTTTTTCTGTTCAACTCTAATAACTACACTCCATCTGTTCATGTTCCTCTTATGAAACTAACTAACTTATCTTCTACATTTATACTCTTCATGTCCATTTAACAGTCAAGTTCACAATATTATTACAATATCTATACTCTTGAATGAAGCTGATGCATAATTCCATTCAATAGTTTTAATAGTTATTGGTTAATCTTAATCAGAAATTGACATTCATGCTCCATAATTTATAATCAGTTTGTTACCAACTAAATTTTGTCAAATTTGACTGCATGTTAATTTATTTAACAATTTCTATGCTTATGGCTTGAAACTATACATATACTTGTTGAAATTTATGTTCATAGCAGTGGCTGTTTATAATACCTTTCAGAAGTTTTTACCTTACCTTTCAGAAGTTTTTTCTGAAATGTAAAAACCCAAAATATAAAGATTGAGCTCACAATATTTTTGCAAAGAATATAAATAGGCTGATGGACGTTTTTCAATCTTTAAGAAGTGGTTGAAACTAGCATTACAGTAGAATAGGTTTATTTCTTTTTGAACTAGTCCTCATGCTTTCTTCAACTCTACCTTGACTTGATTGTAGGTAGTTTTTATTTTAAACAATATTCACTATTTGAAATATCATTGTAACCTGGATCTTATCATTCCTTCAGATGTCCATATGGTCTTCCAAATTAAATTGATAACATTCTGTGATCTCTGTGTCTGAGAGCTGAAATGTATATCATGATTGTTATTATGAAATGAGATAGATACCTTAAATGCTCTCTTAATTTTATTGAGCTACTCTCACCATAATACTCAGGATAGAATGTACTAAGATGTGTCAGCAGCTGAATTCTCATTTTTTCCTCCTACAGACTGGTTGAAAAGCACTGGTTAATATTTTTTCTTATTTGAAAAAATTCGAGTTGATGAATTGGTTAAATGAACACCATGGAGGTTTGTACTCCTGACACAAGGGCAGAATCTTCTCCGTCTCCTGACCTTGTAAATATCATGAACATGCCTGTAGTTGCAGTCTCCCCTTCGAGCATCAATGCATCCGATGACGGCAATGAGCTTCAAAGTGATGGGCTCAGTACCACCATGGATGACACTCAAACCACCTTTGGCAACTCATCTTTTGGTCTAAGTTCCAACCAAGATATTGTGAAGCACGCAGATGAAAAAGAACTTTATAAAAACTGTTCAGTTGAAATATCGTCCAGTGATCCATTTCCTGACAAAATCAAAATCAGAAAAGTCGGCAATGGCACTGCAGTAATAAGTTCCTCTGTGGTTCTTGATGATAGTAAAGTCACCCCACAAATTCATACCCAGAATAGCAGTGAAAGAAATGTGTCCACTGAGTCCATTTCTGAACAAAATTCTTTGTTGATGGAAGCAAACAATGAAGGAATTAATGATCACGATGCCAATGGGAGTGAGGCTTCTGATGATATAAAGGTACTAATTAATGTTTCTTTCCCCAGATTGTGGAATTTGCATTATATCTATCAAGATACAAATTTCATAAACAGTACGGTACTGTTGAAGTTGAAATGTTGAAGGAGCATACTGTGCCTAAGTTTCTTTGAAGAAAGTCTGTACATAAAAGCTTGAAATTGGATAAATTCCAATTTCTGGCTGTACTTCAATGTTAACAAATGAAAAATTTTAACATGTGTTTTAAATCTGGCTAGTGTCCACTCAGTGAATTAATATAATGATTCATAGTGTTTATTAGGATGAAAGAATCACGAATTTGGATGGTACTGCTATATATTTCTTTACTTCATTTTTTCTTCCATTTGTGGCTAGGTAACATGGTCGTTGCAATGACTGCTGTCAGATTTAGGAATTTGGGCTTTTCCAATTATAAACATCTTAGCATCCTAAATGTGTCTTTACTGCTTATCTCAGAAACATGTTGTTTTAGCATTGATTTTCATTACCAGGGACGTTTCAACCTGCGTAAACGTAAGCTCATGTCAGGATCATACGATGGGCTTGGCAGCTATGAAGTCTCAGGTGAGCTATGAACTTCTACAATATTAATCTTGGTGAAGAATTGTTGAACTATTTTTAACCGTTGCATAACTATACAACACACAAGAAAAATGTAACTTAGCCTGAACAAAAATTATTTTGAAGTATATTTTACAGTGTAATCTATATTTTCTTCCTTGTCTTGCCAGCAGATGATGACTTGCTTCCTTTAGTGCAAGTTCAAAGACGCAAGAGACGAATTGGTGAGGACGTTAATTTTTGTCCTTTAATTCTTGGCATTGTTATTAATGCAGAGCTATGATTTTTTTAAATACAGTAGTGCCTATAGATAAAAAAATGTTAATTTAATTTCTGAATTTTTCTGATCTATTTTTGGTTTATTCTTTGCAAATTTTTAGGTGCAGGGTACACATATGACATGCAACGCATCACAACCGCGCTTAAAGCCATCAGGACAACTGGATGCTCCATCAAGCAGGCATCCATCGAATATGGCATCCCTAGGACATCACTCTTCCGGTAAATTATCAATGTTTAAACATTTCAAAAAATTTAAGTCACTTTTTTTTTCATTTTAGGATTGCATTAAGATTTTAATAATAGTAGTGTCGATTATAAGGTGTATTGAATTTTTTTCTTCTTTATTATAATCTTTTATTGATTGTCACATTTATTTAGTCAGGTTGCATCTGTAATGTCTTAGGCTTTCCTCAGAATATTTGTTCTCTCATAAATGGGCCAAGGCAAACGTATTACAAAGAGAGTTTTACAATGAAACTCTTGAATTCAATATCAATCTGGGAATAAAGTTCACATCCTACATTAACTAAATTACTGGTGCTGAAAAAGGTGATCAGTACAAAAGTCAGAGATGAACACCTATCATCTTACATCACTCTCTTCTTCCATTACCAGAAACGTTAATACGCAGTGCTGCTCCTTAGAGAGTAGTAGGACTATCCTGAGCAAGTGTATCTTGAAACTTTTGTGGCTGTATTGTTTCCAGTAGCCTTTTGCAGTCTCTGTCTTTGTAGCTTTATTAAGATGTCTAACGGTTGGTCTCGCAGTATATTAAAGTTAAACTATCCGCTGCTGATGATGATGTGACCGTATTGTGCTGTTATCCATTCCGATTATGATTGTTGCGCAGTGCTTTGATTGTTAGCTTCAAGATTGCTGAATGTCTCATTGCCTCTTGCATTGTTTCATTGCCATGTCGCTGTTGTTGTCTTGATGCTGACCTACAAATATGCCGAAGTCCTTCCTCTTACTAACAGATTTTGGATGCTGTTATATCTGAGTCATAGTTGTATGAATGACTCAAAGTATCGTGCGGGCGTTTTTTCTCACCATCATCTACGTCTGCGCAGCTATGTGCAGATCGTACTTGTGGGACGGTTACTACAGAAGGACAACCTTTTGGCACGATTCTTATGCCCCTAATTTAGGCAGGTGTTGCGTACAGTTGAGCATACCCTAGCAGTAAACCTATATTAGATGCTGCGCTATTAGCGACAGCTTTGAATTTGTCCTCGAGTTTCCCCATGGTCACCACCCCCCCGGGGTCACTCTGCGTGTCTGTGCTCGTCAGAAGTCCGTTGGGATTTCGCGTTCCTAGAAGCATTGTTCCTGAGTGCCCCACCACAAACTCGCAGTGTCTGACTGCAGGTCTCAGTCATGGGGTCAAGTTATTAATTAGGTCAAGCTATGTTGGTAGGATTCCTAAAATTTCTCTTCTCGGTCTCTCTCGTGTGGTCGGCTGATGTCCCTTGTAACCGACCTCTTGTTCAAATGTCTTTGCTGCTGTTGCTATTCTCTTGTCACTCCTTATCACTTCTTCTCTTTGAGATGATAATGTTGCTTCTTTTGATCCAGCTTCTGCGGGCTGGCTACCTGAGACCTTTTGCCCCCTTGGGATTGATGACTTTTTATTTGAGAAACTTTTGATAACAGAGACCAATCACATTGTTGATGTTCATCTTGACTTATGGTGCAAGATAGCTGAACAGGTGAAGCTAGTAAACATGCACATGGTGTCAATATAATTAATCCTTCGTTTGACTGGCATCATATTATTATTTCACGTCATTTGGAAATACCATAAATTGGAACTGTGCTACATGGTATGTGGCTCGTGAGCAGGTACCACCAGCAGCAGATGGAGGAAAATCAATTGCAGTTGCAGTCCAGCAAGGAGGCATCGCCTGAACCACTTTCCAAAGACACATCCTATACCAGCATCCCACTTGGTGGCAGTGCAGTCAACGGCGGGGAGCTTCAAAAGCTTTCTGCACCAAGAGTCAGCTTCAAAATGAGCTCTACGGAGGAGTGCCAGCTTGCTGCCTATGTGTCCCTGCTAAGCCGCTCTGGAAAATGTCTATCCTACTCTGATATCAAAGTTATAGCTGAGCATATTGTGCGATCCTGTGGTAAGGGCAAGCCAAAGAGCAGAAGTCAAATTAGTCCAACTTCGGGATGGATTCAAAAGTTTAGACTACGGCATCCAGAGCTCAACTATAAAACTCTTGAGCATTCATCTATGAAGCTGGGTGAGCCATCTCGAGGTGATCTATTGAGATGGCAAAATGATCTTGAGAGTTTCTTGAAAGTAGACTGGAAGCTGGACCCTCCCTCAATGTTTAGCGAGGAATGTGCTAGTCGTATTTATACTTGTGATGAAATTCTCATAGCATTCAGTAAACTCGACAATAAAGGTGAGAAAGTGCCGCTTAAATCTCTACTGAACAGTTCCAGCAATGAAGAAAAGCAGCTGGTGACTGTGATAGCTGCTGCGTCCGCCTCAGGCGACTATCTCAAGCCATTTTTCTTGTCACCGTCTACCGCCCCAGACTTCTCGAAGTTCCCTACGCTGGACACCTCCACCTACCATGCTGTTCCCTGTAGCTCAGGGCTCGTTACACCGGAGATCTTCATGCAGTGGATGATTAACTTCGAGGCACACCTCACCTCCAAGAACATCCCCCGCCCCGTCGTTCTGCTCATGGATGACCACGCTGCCCATTTCCATATCGGTGTCTTCCTCTATTGCCTGGATAAACAAATAATTCCCGTGTGTCTGCCCCCAAGACTCAACAAACTCTTGCAGCCTTTACTTGGCAATTTTTTCCCGAAGCTCATGATGGCTTACCAAGCTTGTTGTAAGCGATACTCGGCTAAGACTGGCGAGGTTATATCGCATGCTTGTTTCCCTTACGTCATGATGAAAGCTTGGACTCTCGTCACTAAACCTAAATTCGTCATCGACGGGTTTCGCTCTTGTAATTTAATCCCAATGACCGTGACTCAACTCGCACCGCCTGCCTCCCCCTCGCAGGAGGCAAAAATTCCTACCGAAAATGATGCTGTTGATTTAGTGAAAGTTAAAAGTGAATCTGCCGAGCTGCTTTCAGAAGACTGTGAATCTTCTTCAGTTCCAGACGAGACTCCTCTTAATGCCGAGGCGAAAAGCGCTAAAAATACACTTGCTAGACCCTTTAAGAAATGCAAGCTGTCCAAGCCTATAGGTTCATCTCAAAGCAACGGCTCTGCAGTCATTCCATCCTCTACTTCCCACACTATTGGAACGTCCTCAGCTACTCGCGAAGTTCCCGCAGTAAAGCCAACTGCCGCCTGCAGTACGCCTTCACAGGTATGCCTTCTTGCTTGCTATGGCTATTGTAGTTGTGGCTAAGTTTTTTTTTATAGCAGCAACATTAAGCTGGTTCGTAACTAGTCTTTACTGAGTGATAGATATATCTGGTGTATTCTAGTGCAAGAATGTTCTTAGAAAGATAACTTCATTGCTGCAAAAATATGTTGAAAAGAAATATTCATATGAATGTTCCTTAAACAAACGTGTATATAACAGGTACTGCTGGGAGACAATCTCGTATCGGATGAGCGCAGGACTGGCAGACGCGAAGGCATCGAGATTTGCTTCTCGGTTTTGGAGTCTTTTGTTCCAGCGGACATCTTGCCGGTGTGGCGGCAGCGCTCCGCCTCTCACACGGGCACCTGCGAGATCGGCTATTGCATGTGGAAGGCAGTGCAGCTCTTGAGCAAGGGTGGCGTCGACATGCTGGGAAAAACTCAGCCTCAGGTGCTGCAGCACACTGGGTCTACACCACAACAGTAGCGAGATGAACAATTACCTCAACATTTCAGTAGCTGCAATGCAGGGCACTGTCTCAGCGCCACGTGGGCTATCCTGCATCGCGGCCTTGATTTTGGTCATTGCCGTTCAGCCTAGTCGTGCTGCTTTGTGAACTCTTACTCCTAAATATGTAATTACTCATTCAGATCTGATTCATTTGTGTGAAACTTAAAGTTTCCTTTGTCACAACTTATGCAGCTGTTAACTATTTCTGTTCCATTTTCTGATGTGTTCTGTTTTTATGAGTTGTTGGATGAATTGTGCCATTGGTACCTGAACATGCTCCTGGGGAGCATTTTATTTTGAAACCTTGACAAATGTTTGGTAAAATTTGTTGTTCATTTTTTAATATCTAGTTGAAGACTGACTCTTCGGTCTTCGAACGGATCTTATTTGTATTATGGCTCGGTATTCCGTTATGACACTGGTTTCTAAACTTGCATGCTTGGTTTTCAATTTATTTTTATCATTTATCGGAAACTATTTCTATTGTGCAGTGTAATGATTATCTCTTTGATCGAACATTTTATTGTATGCGATGTTTTTATTGTCAGTGATATTGTGGACTCAATTCAGTAGTACTGAATTCTCAAAGCAATGACAAAGGGCCTCATGCCGTCACCTACTATTTTTGTACATTTTCTTGGCATTAAATATATGATTAAATTTATGTTTTAAGCATTTGACACCTATTCTATATTTGATGCCATGATTCGTAGACTTTGTACATCTTGGGTGCCGATGACGAACCCTCAACACTTGCTACAAATTGTCTTCATTTCTTGCTACACGAGTAGGAGGAGTAGGAGTTGCAGCCTAAATATTGAAATGTAATAATTAAAATAGCGTGCTCTGATGCAAAAATTTTTCTTGATATTCAACCTCCGCCTCATTCTTAGTGTCGTTTCCTCTCGATTTTCTGTTGTAAATTGGCATCATCGCTATTCCTTGTGTTGGTTTAACAAGAGTGCGTCCTAAAAAAGTCTCCTTTACTCGAGCAATTCTCAAATTTTCATTGTAACTGCTCGTTTCTGAACTTATTTTGTATGCTATTCAGTGTGATACGTGTGACGTCAAGTTTAGCTTTTCAAGTTGCTGGTCTTTAGGTACTCAGTGACTGTTGAAATTTTAGCTTATTGCTGAGAAAAAAACTTATTTGCAGAATATGTGTGCAACGACGAGTCGACTATCTGGAAATTAGGACCATACGTTATTGGTAGAATTGATCATTCCTTTGGCACTAATCGTGACCCATATTATAGCTCATAATTTAAAACGTACATTATTATTATTATGTAAAACGTAGAATTGAACATTTTTGTACAGAGATTTCTCTCTCGTGTAGGGCAGAAAGTGCGTTGGCCTAAATTTCTTACCTGCCTATGGCGCACTTATCTATTGCTGGATGGTCTGCCTCTTCACCAGATAAATTCTTACAGTGCGCACACAGCGGAATATCGCGTTTCAATAGAAAGAAAACTTCCAGAGTAGAAGTATTATTTGAACATGTGTTGCATCAGCATGGGTATAAATTGAAAATCTTGTGTTTATTTCAAGAGTTACAATGGAGTATTGATAATTGTAATAGGGGTGTGAATGTTTGTCGAGTGTATGAATGAATGTGCCTGGGATTGCTTATATTATAAATTTTTGTCGGTTTGAATGAAGTTAAGTATGTTGGTTAATGAATTAATGAAAGATTTATTTAGTACTCAATGTGTCTTTTGAGTGAATGAGCTGAAAATAGGATCTAAATGTTTGTTTAGAGAAGGAAATGCAATTTTTCAATCGGGTTGTAGCTCGTTCAACTACGAATGAAAATTCTATTGAGTTGATTTTTGTAATATTAATGGATAAATTAAATTTCAATTTTTTCCCAATTGATGCTTTATTAAAGAATTGGAGTCGGGTGGGTAATTTGAATTGCAGCTTATATTTCGATGTCATCCATGCATGCATTTAGAATAACGCACCTAAAGCAGACCAGATCGTGCTGTGCGTGTTTTAAACAACAGAGATTGCCTTATTATTTATTTTTCGTTAGTCATTTGTCTACAAGCTACCCTATCTGAACACATGCAAAGCTATTATCCAAGCGTTTTGCATTTAACGTAGCACAGAATTGTATAATTAATGAAGTCTAAAATGTAAATGTATTGAAAATGTGTAAAAAATATTTAATGCAAATTCATGTAAAAACTGTACATAAAGCTGTGAGGTCTCGGATGAATGATCCAACTAATGTAGCAATGATTTTCTCATATTTTAGTGTGTAAGAAGGTAACTTTAAATTTGCACCTATTGTGTTAGGATTTAATTTTATAATTATTTATTTTGTGCTCTAGATAGCAGCATTTTTCCATCGAGACTGAGTTGCAAGAGTACTTACTTATTATCCTTCTGCTCTTCCGTTCCAAGAAGATTGATGTTATTGATGATGAAGCTGAGAATTGGAAAAGGTTTCTGGTAATAACGTAAAGAATACCCGTGTCTGAAGTTCTAAATAAGTGCCTAGTGGTGTTTGCCCTTCCAGAGGAATTTTTCCCCATGTGATTCCAAGCTGAGCTCGTTTCATTTTACGATGGGTCATGGTTGTGGCGTTAGGTCATTTCCCTCCCTCTGTCTCTCATCCACTGCCCTACCTTGTATGCAACTGTTTTTGCCAGAACACAATTGTCCTCTAAGCTACTCTCGTGACGTTCAGATGTCAACTTCAGCACGCTGGGCATTATACCATTCGTATAATTTATTGGCACAATTTGCTTGGAAAATGTGCGCGTGCTATGTTCTTCCCGAACGCTAATGACTTAAGGAATTGTCGAAGAGCACCTCAACACACTTCTTATGGAAATAAAGGTAGAAAAATATAGTTAGATTGTATCCGTTTTCCACACCCATGATTGTTTACTTTGTATTCTCTCGCTTATGCACTCTTTTTTTTTTTCATGGGCAATTCGATGAAATAATTTCATTCGACTTTGAAATTATTCGATGACCGATAAAAAGCTACGACTCGATGTTAAGGTGAAAGATATTTGCTAAAATAGTTTCAAAATTGATGTGTGATTAACAAATTACTGGCGCTCCTGGAACTTTATCGATCACGAGATTGCATGTTTTTTAATAATCTTAAAGTGAGTGTTTTGTTGTAAATCCAACACAAAGCTCGAAGTAATATAGGTATAACTGCGGGGCTGTAGAATTTAAGTATATTGTCGGTAAGGCCTCTTCCGTACCTGCGACGGACTCTTGCCAGAGGCGACTCCTTGTTCCGCTGTCTTCGTATCTCTTGCTGTCCACTTCCTTTTTTGGCTCAGGTGTCATCATGGCTTTCTGTCGCGGCTCCAGCGGAATGATCATTTCGAACCATTCTTCAACTTGTTAGCAATGAATCCGACTTGAATGCAAGAAAAATATCTTGTTCTGTAATGCCGGTAAACGTATATGCCATTCACAGTTATAAAAAAAATCTTAATCTCTCTGCACCAAGACATTCCTCGGTAATGACCTTATATGGTGATTCATTGGAGCCTTCTTGCTCTGCTCGTGCCCCAGGGTAGGTGGCTGGCCGAGACCAGCACCTAAGGGAACACGACACTGCCTTCCCTGGGTAACCCAGCAGGGGCTATTTTCTCTCTAGCTGATATCTCGAAAATGAATATAATTGAATGGGGACTTGAAAAGACCCGGAGAAAATTAGATAGGCTGACACACGAAATTACCGAGTTAGGCGTGGCCTCTGCTATTTTGAACGTCCCGCAAAAGTCTTTGAATAAGGCCTATTGTGTCGGGAATTTTGGTTCCAGCAGTCGGTAGCACCTCGCTGATGTGCTATCTCTGGATTCTGAGCACCTGTTTGTTATCAATTTAGGTTAATTGCTTTACTTTTTTCTGCCGCGCTGGTCAAAATGGCAGCCAAACCGCCGTGCGAGCGACATCTTGTTCGGTTCTCAGGCTATACGAGGAACATCAATGAAAACAGTTTAATCGTTTTATCTATCCTGACGTAGTCCGTTGTGTTATTTCCCCTAGAAAATTTAAAATGTTCTAAACAATCTAAACACGACTATGTGACAACATCTAATTTAAATTTATTTCAAGAAGACTGATGATAGGTGAATTTTTTGCGTATGCGAGAAAATATTTGGAGGAGAAATGAAAATAGATGGACAATAGTTCCTTAGGAATGGAAGCGTGTAGATAAAAAATTGTTTTTGATCTCTAAACTTTGAAACGACTTAAATTGCGTGTTCACCAGTGTTCAGAAGTAAAATCTGAACCAATTTATTCTCACCACTAACACGGGACTGAATGCTTTTCAGTATCGAAATCAGTTCTCACTTTTGGTCTTGACAATTTTTGAACATTTTGGACCCCTTAGACGCCAGTCTGAAGATGACATCAACTGGGTGTACAACGGACACAGTAGAGGAACTGCCCTCGTCTCAGTTGGGAACCAAGGAACAGTAAGTACACACTCAGATAAATGATTGAGACTTGTCCAAATGGCTGTGCACTGTTCGACCATGTGTTGATCATCTTTACCCAGTTTTGCCCGACAAAGTAGCGTCCGTCCTCTGCTCAAGAGCGGACGCTTCGTCCGTTCAGTGAAACGGACGAAGCGGATCCGTTCAGTGCTGCGTTCTTTCTCTGCTCGTTGCCTGGGAAGAATGTGTGTCAATATTTGGACTGCATGACCCATTGATTTTAAATGCGACTAATTTCCATTTTATCTAAATGATAAGCAATATAATTGATATTCTTGTTGAGAAAAGCGTAATGATAAGGCCCTCGTTATACTTTCGTGCCAGTGGGCTCTAGATAACGTGTGACTACATTGCTTGCCGGGTTATTCCAAATTAATTGGATTTAAACACAAAATAGAGCTTGAGGGAGTGTGTGTGATGGTATTGAAATTAATTTAGAACCTGCCATAAATCATCTCATCATAGGATAAAAACCGTTCATGACGCGTAAAGAATTTGCATAGGTGGTAATTGTCTACGAAAAATTCGCGAACTGACCTGAGAATGACGATTGCAGTTGGGACGACACGTACGAAGGAGAGTTGCGGGAGTTCGAGGAGCGTGGGGACATCGGTGAGGTTTGGTTTGGTGAGGAGAGCGAGGAACGTGTGATCACTTGGCTCGTTGAGGATTGGGAGCCCAGTGCTGACCTGTATTCCCCAGCTCTTCCCCAGCAGGAGAAGACCTCCCTGCCCGTGCTGGACCTGGGCACTGGCAACGGTCACTTTCTCCTAGAACTGGTGCGTGACTCTCATTATTATTTCTGGTAAAACTTTAGATTAAGTGCATCCAAAAAGAAGTTTTTTTTACTTATATGTTTTTTGGGGTGTAGATTAAGAATCTGAAATCCGTTTTTTGCGGTCGGCATCGGAAAACCGATTTTTTCCCCCGAGGCTCTAATTCGTCAAAAAAAAATCGGGCAAAAATCGGCAAAATCGGCGAAAAAACCTAACCTAACCTAACCGTGGTTGCAATGTCGTGGTTGCCTGCAATATCATGGGTGCCTGCTATGTCATGGTTGCAAGAGTATATGGGTCACCGAGGCTAAGTTAAAAACGCTATAAATCCACGGATATTGGGCCAATATTTAACTTGCATTTTATCTAAATATATAAAAAATCGGAAAAAATCGGTTTTCCGATGCTGACCGCCAAAAACGTATTTCAGATTCTTTATCTACACCCCAAAAAACATATAATTAAAAAAACACCCTTTTTTGGATGCACTTAATCTAAAGTAATACCTTATTTCTTTTTGTTTAGCGTCGAACAAACGCTCCACTAATTTTGTTTGCTTATTTCTATTCTATATTATTGCCTTCGCCCTTCGTTTTGTTGATCTTATCGTCCTCCCTCTCGAAAATTTTTATTCGAATTATAGGATTGTTTGTCTATTTCTCTTGAGTTTAAATCGCATTTGCGAAAGCCTGTACTCGAAGCAAAGCTTTCATGACTATTGAAGCTATACTTGCAGAATGCAGAGTTGTGTTTTCAGAGCTGAAAGTAGAAGTTAAGCATAAATTTTATTAAGGAGCTATATTTACGTCTGTTCATGTTTAAGGCTTTATGTACTTACTTTGGCGTGATTGAATTATGCTTGAAAATGTATTCAGGCTGAATTGTTAAAAGCTTATTGCAAGTGCATGTCTGATTATGCTTTCAACGTAATGGAGACAAAAATAATGATTCAAATCACACTTACGTTCGTCCGGAATTCAGTAATTTATTTAACACCTCAAGGTTCAATTAAGGTGAGAATATAAGTTCCGCTTTTGCCTGCTACGCCAGGCAGAGCTTGGCTTCTCCGACCTGACGGGGGTGGACTACAGTGAGCAGGCCGTCGCACTCGCGAGGGCGGCCGCCCTTAAGGCGACCAAGAAAATAACTTATGAGGTACGCGTCTATATGTATAATTCGTATATTGAGCGGTACTTGGACATCTGCAGATGCACATTATTTTTGTTTTCGCTGTACACTTCATTGACCTAACACTGGAAGTTTTATGTCAATAAGACTTACCTTGAACATGGAATTTACGCGCCTGAAACGGGCTCAAGACGTGGCTTAAGCGAAACTCAAACAGGCTTTCAGCAATCTTTGTTCATTCATATAACAATGTATGAATTGAACATGCATTAAATGTACCTCGAACATACATTGAACGTTGGAATACACAATGAATATGAAATATTTCGACATACGTTAAACATGAAATGAACACACCTGGAATTTGGAATGTATGTGCCTGAAACTTACCCAAAACATGCCTTAATTTTAGCTAACCTAAAACAGGCTTCCCTATGCATACTTGCAGTGCGCCTTTAGCAAAAATTGGATCTCCAACTACACTGCATCTCCTTTGAGCATACATTGAATGTCCCTTGAAGAGTGAACACACTTTGAATATCCTTCCAGCACACATTGAATGTCCGTTTAACGCACATTAAATATCCCTTCAACACACGTTAAATATCCCTTCAACACACATTGAATGTCCGTTTAACGTACATTGAATATCCCTTCAACAAACATTGAATGTCCGTTTAACGTACATTAAATATCCCTTCAACACACATTGAATGTCCGTTTAACACACATTGAATGTCCGTTTAACACACATTAAATATCCCTTCTACACACGTTGAATGACCCTTTAATACACATTAAATATCCCTTCAACACACATTGAATGTCCGTTTAACACCTTGAATATCTCTTCAACGCACATTGAATGTCCGTTTAACACACATTGAATGTCCCTTTAACACACATTAAATATCCCTTCAACACACATTGCATGTACCTCGAACATTCCTCAGCAAATATCTATGACCTCTGCGTGTTGCAGCGCGCAGATCTTGCGTGCGGCGCGGGCCCGGCGGTGGCGGCGCTGGGGCGGCAGTTCGCGGTGTGCCACGACAAAGGCACCTATGATGCCGTCAGCCTCACGCCCGACACCGCGTGTCTGGCGCGCCGTGCATACCTAGGCAACGTGCACAGGTGATCAGCTCACCTAGATGTGTGTATACATCTAGGTAAGTAGAATTTTAAAAGCGAAGAAAACTCCACAAAAATTCAGCATTTCTCTATTGAAAACGTTTCGGAGACCAGCTCCATCGTCAGTTCGCTTTCAAATTTCTAGTGAATATGCGATTCAAGCAATCTAGTGACATTATTACATCTAGGTGAGGTATAGCTAGGTATAGTTATAGGTACGGGTATAGTAGGTATAGTTATACATCATATATAGATATGATGTATAACTTAGATATAATGGATTTGTTAACGAATTGCACAAGAATTAAGTATCAGATTGTTATAACAAGATCGTTTTATCTTCTGAATGAATATGCATGGAGCTGGATTGAGGATTGTAGTGATGCTGTTCAGTTAATGCAGTAGAATTCGCCCACCATTTGTACTTGCCTGCCTGCTGTGATATTTCGATATCTATTCGATAATATAGAATGCTTATTGATGGTAGAAGGCTTATGGAATGAATGACTTAAATTAATGTAGTGTATTTTAATACCACTCTTTTCATCGAGCTGAGAGCGTTCATGAATATATTTCTACGCATGCATATTTTTCCAACAAAATTATTCACTAGCTGCCACCAAATTCACTCCAACCACTTGCTGAATTCCAGCTGCGAAATGAAAACTAACTTATAACTGAATTTTCCTCTCTTCATGAATATCGACAAATAATAACCATTCAAATGTTTCTTAAGTATCCGACGTTTTTTCTTGAATGAAAATTCAAAGAATGACTGAAAATCGATAAGCTTTCGAGAATGTGCGATGAGCCCCGGAAGAACTATTTGCTGATAATTGGATGAAACGTTAAAAAAAGAATGAAGAAATGCTGAGCGTTTGTAATGTTGCAGATTATTGGCTGACGGTGGCGTGTTTGTGATCACGTCCTGCAACTGGACTGAAGACGAACTCCTGCAGCACTGCGATCCTTGTGAGTGCAATGCCTGGGCAGCTGTGGTCTTCAGTTACTGGTCCTGTAATCGTAGCGTTGATGATTGTAGATTATCTTTGATTATTCCTAAATGATTTTAAAATTTTATTTAATTTTTATTTAGTAATTTTGTAAATTTTTTGGTTTTTATTTATTAATTTTGTAATTTTATTCGATTTTTATTTATTAATTTTGTAATTTTATTTTATTTTTATTTATTAAATTGTAATTTTATTCAATTTTTATTTATTAATTTTGTAATTTTATTCAATTTTTATTTATTAATTTTGTAATTTTATTCAATTTTTATTTATTAATTTTGTAATTTTATTTAATTGTTATTTATTGATTTTGTGTAATTTTATGCTAATTTCCGTAATGATAAATGACGTACCGTGGTAGTAATGAGAGATAATAGATTTTTCTACACGCCGATTAGATGAGCATGATAAGCGCCAGCTAGAATTGTGTGGTGTTAATGTGTGTAACGTAAACGTAAGGTAAAGACATACCAGCTTTTAGTATAGAAAACGATATAGATATCATACATCGTAGATTATTTACGGCAACAATACATATTTTTTCTATCTATTCAGTTATTGTGTTGCTTTCGATGATTGCCTGTACAAATGTAGATAAGCATCGCTTATGATACACAGATTGTTTCCCTTCTTCAATCTGAGTATATTTTAATCTAAACAATGGATTTTTATTTCATATACGTGATGTTTTACTACATTATCTGGCCCAAGTTAGACCCTGTGATTTGGTTGTGCCGTGGTCGTTAGATTTATTTTTGGTTGTCGGTTGTGCAGACTTCGTGAAGCTGCACCGCATCCCCACGCCGAGCTTCAGGTTCGGCGGCAAGACAGGCTCGCTGGTCACCTCCTTGGTCCTCAAGAAGAAGCCCCAACCTCAACTCTGATCTTATTAATTATGTTATTGCTTGTGTTAAAAAATAACATTGCATTACCATCACTTTTTAATAAATTATAATTTTTACTATTGTGAACTTCTTTATTCCAATGACTATTGAAAACGGTAACAGTGTCATTTTGAGCTTGAGATTCCGCAAGTATGTTAATAGTTTTGATACACGTTCGTGAACGATATGAACGTATTTGGAAAAGGTGTATTGGCTCTGATTAATAGCTCATGTTGGAAGCCGAGTTAAATGTTGTCCAATTCCATTCGGAAGAAATAAATCAATTGCCATGGGCTGGAAATAAATGATCTACATAATGGATCTGTGGCGGACTCTTGTCTACATGATTTGTGATACAGTCTTTCGAGAATATACGTTGAAGAATATACTGATAATGTCTACCCTGCGAATTAAGACGTGCGAATTGACTATGTCTGCGTTATATGCGTTACTGAATTTCCAACTGAAGACGAAACTTTTTCATTGGAAATATAAACGTTGGAATTTTCTTTCTTTCAGTTTCTCGTCGCCAGTCTTCAAGCCTGTGGGTCTGGCATGAATGCATTCATTCCTCAAGTCACCAGAAAATAAACATAATGGGAGGGACCGTGGTAATCTAGAGGGAGATTTGCTGTTCTGTCACCACGTATAACTTTTTTATGATGCATCGGAATGAATGATGGATTGGAGACTTGCTGTACCATTCAAGTGTAGATCAATGAATGCTAGCTGTGTTTTGCACTGCATTCGTAGATTCTAGTGGACTCTTCTTAACTACTAAATGCTCTTGCATCTAACGCACTCGTGCACCAAACATCCAAGCACCTAACGCAGCCATGTAACTAACACATTCATGCACCTAACACATTCATGCACCTAACACATCCATGCACCTAACACATCCATGCACCTAACACATCCATGCACCTAACACAGCCATGCACCTAACGCATCTGTGAAGTGTGCACTAAGTGATACGATGACTGCAGTAAATGCTGCTCGAAGTAGCAGTTCATTGAACAAATTGATAGTTCGTGGTATAATGTAAATTTTCCACTTAAATATGCATGCTTTCATAATGTTATTAATTTTTTTAAGATTTAAAGCGTTGCATGGACGTTTCCTTTTTGTAAATTATACAAAGCTGTCTAACCCCATTTTAAGAGCGTCCTTGAACCTACGATAACAGCGTGAATATTTGTTCGTACTTCCGGTGACCTGGATGCAATAAATTCGATAATCATGCCTCTAATAAATGTACTCTCATTTCTCCTCAGCGCTTATTGGCCATGAATTTGTTTCACTGTCTAGGGCACGGTTTCCATGACGACCGGACGAAACACTGGAGAGAGGCTTGGTCAGTCGACACCTCGAGTGCCGCCAGTGACACTTGGTAGAGTTTCGTGTCTGGATGTGACGGGTGTTTTTTCCCGCCGCCCCCAAAAACAATTGCCCCTGAAAATGGCTCGAGGTTCACAATTTAATGTTGAAGAAAGCCGACAACATTTGAGAGGTTCATGTTTCGTTCTACGGTAACAGCTTACGTTCTCGGGCGGACTCCATTAACAATAACGTGATCTTTTGTGTTGAAAATTCAAATCGCACAAGATGCTCACAATTAATGTAGAAGGTGGTTAATAAATTTAACCATGGATCGATTTCATTCGTCTGTTAGAAAAATCTTTGTTAAACGTAATCTTTCCTGATCGTGGCTCGTTCCGGGATTTTTACTATTGTTTGTCAACTTGATCGTAAACCATTTATCTTGTTTGATTCAATGTTTATGGATAGTGATAACCTTACACTATCCAGACTCGTTCGAAGTGGTATCATCTAAATATCAATTCTAAAAATGTGTCATTTAAACTGATTTGCTTACCGTAAGATTGAGCATACATTCGGGCATTGAATTTTACTCAAACATTAGTTCATCCTTATTTACATTATATTGTCAACGTATTATTAGAAAGGAACGTTTGTAATACAGTTATTATTAGAACTCTACCACACAGGTACGATTGGTTTCTCTAAGGAATCATGTAGGAACTCTGCGGTATGACAAAGATAGCGTACAAACTTTGTCGTTCTCGTGTAATTACATTCAGAAAAATATTTCGTTTCGCACACTTTAATACAGTTGAGTTATTCGTCGACTCGATTTAAATCCTTCCAGAAATGATAAACCACTACACTTTAAATAGTTCCAGACTGGATAAGATATTAGTAACGTAAATTTAGTGAATTTATATTTTTTGCGAAGAAGTTAACAGAAAAGCAGCCAAAATTGGTCACCACGACCGTCGACCACGTAGCGGTAGCTGTAGTCCTAGCGTTAACGTTTTGACTCCGTCAGATTACCGGCAATTTGAAACTGAAGGAAATCTCACATCGAAGCTTTCAGAATTTTCCCCGCCTCCTCTGGTGAAATTCAGAGTAACGCCGTACCCGACCAAGACAACATATTCGGTTGCTAGCTTGAAACGCTGGTCAAGAGGCCTGTTCGATCTACCTCATTTGATTTTGAACGACACTTATAGAAATAGACGCGAGCAAGTGCACAAAGATTCTAGATCGAGCAACGTATCGTCAAAGGATCGACTCACACAGTCCATTCATGCCACCGTACCTCGCAAACAAACAATCGAGAGCGTCAGCAGTTATTGTCCTGCTAAAAAACCGCGCCAGCCTGAAGAAGAGCAGCGAGAAAATCCTCCGAGAGAAAAAATATTTGTGACGTCAGATTATCAAGCATCTACTGTTTCAGATATTAAAGTGAATTGCTCGCTTGTACCCCACAGCCACAGCGTTCTTCCAAACAATGACAACCAACTTTCATCGCCTGGCAGTTTCCAAACTTGCACTGAGCCTGTAGCTGTTCTAGCCTCAACATCCCAGTTTTCTAAGTCAACGTGTGTTGAGACTCAAGTCAACGAGCTTTCAATCATCCCAAATGAAGCAGTATTACATACCCCGCAGCTCACACCAAACATCCGTGCTGCAGACAATATCTCTAATAAAAATTACGAAGTTTCCATAACTCACAAGACCAAAGGCAGCCCAGATTCAGCGGTTCCAGGCAGCAAGGCAGTGTCGTTCGCAGTTGTCAATTCTTCTACAGATTTGTTGACTCCTCCCGTCACAAGGATGACAAGCCTGACGCCCCTCTTGTTCACACGTAGGGCCATCCACCCTCGGTCTCACCACAACAGGGACGTTGGGCTCGGTACCCCTCTGCAGGTTCGTAAATATTAGATTTATTTTCGATTTACGCTGTTCAATTGTTGGTATTTAAGAACATGGCAAAATGAAGCCTTCTGCTTATCAACAAACGTTCTTTCTACTGAAGTATTAGAAACGAATAAGAATTTGCATAGTTTTAAATCTTAATACATGCAGTCACACAAATGTATCTAACAAAATAATTGTAAAAAAACTAAATTCGCCGCCGAGAGAAAAGTGAACTGCGTCAAAAATTCTGTTTTATGTACTCGGTGAATTTCAACAAGTTAAATCGTGGCGGTATGATAACTACTTTAAGAAATTTATGACAGGCACTGATAATAAGATGAAAAAAAATAATAATATTTTAAATGAAATCGGGCACGCTGTAGCTACTCGGAACCTTCCAAATAAGTCGAATTTGCAAGTCTAATTTGTTTCTTTTTTAACACTACTTGTGAAATTTAAGACAGGAAAGCATTATTATCGACAACCAAATTAAAATCAAAGAACAATACCGGTACATATGTAGAAAGTATGTATTAGCTACATTTAAAATAAAATATGCCATTGTTTCACAAGCATCTTTATACCAATTATTTTTTTTAATAAAATAAGCAAATTTATGTTTATTGAATTAAAGTCGATTTAAATTGCTGTCAGTGTTGTTGCAAATCATGACCAATATATTTTAACCTGGTGTAGCATAAAAAAATTTAGTTAGAGAAATCGACTCTGTTGCTACGAAATATTTTTACTCAACATGCAATTAAAATTATAATGAATAATAAAAGAATATAACGCTGCGTATAATTCTTTAAATAAATTTCTGGAGTAACATGTTGATTTCTGACATTTTTCACACTTTTTCCGAAGCTGGTGTCACACGAGGACGGAGTGTCGGTGTGTTCAGCCGACCTGACGCTGCCGCTGATAGCGAAGGAGGTGCTGCGTCGGCAAACTATCGCCAAGGTCCAGCGTGAGGTCAGTGCACCATCAAACCTATCAAATGTTATTAAGTTATTAGCCTAAATATTGTTAATTAATACACCATATGTTCATATTTACTTGTCAATAGCTCAAGTACTTGTCTAAGCTACCGATGGATAAAAATATTTGACAGATAGCCGTCACTATTTCAGGTAAAAATCGAGGTAAGTTTTGCACTTGGTGGTCAGCGCACTGCGATTCAATATTCTTAAGTTCTAAGCTCATTTACACCGACAATAAAACATCAGACGCTTCAGTTTTTATGAATAATTTTCCATGCATCAGTCACTCATCTTTAATTTTTTTCTATATACACTTGCTACTGCCTCATCATGTAAGAGTTCTTATACCAGAACGACGGTTCATTGATATGCATGAAATTTACTCATCAATTTTTTTATCGACAAGCTTTAAATTCGTGACTTGACCTGCTTTCTTGTAATCGATGACTACAACACAATTGCATGAGCTTCTCCAGGATCGACGATCTCATTCATTATGAATAAGGAAGAACATAGGTTCGTGAGCTCACTCCTGCTGCTGCATTTCATGTAATTTGCGGTAGTTACGTCGACGTAAAAAAATTTAGGCAGAGCTCGGCGGTTCAGAATATCGACGTCTGGGGCAGTAAAGTAGAATGGCATGTGAGTAAAGAACCGAATCACGCGTCGTGGCTGAATTTGCGATATAAGTAAATACGTCTATAGAGAACACGTCGTCAATATTATACACATTATTGTGATTACTTATCAGGTGACATTTTTTCTTGAATTTTCAAACAGCTTTCATGACGTCGGTCAGAAAATTTCATCACAGATTT